ATGGTTTTGTTGGAACAATTACTACCTTCGAAGTTAGATTTGTGACTATGAGGACCCCAAATGACACTAATTCTTGAGCAAGGTGCATCCCTATGCAGTGGAGAATTCCTTTAACGATGGTTCTTCCAAATAAAGGTAATCATCGTCTGGATATCATCGTCGCTATGGTCCAATATTCAATAATCTTCAAGAATTCCATAGACCTCGTGTTTTGCCCGTATTAGAGACCTTCTAGGAAGTCTAACGTTCTTAACAAGTTACATTCCGGAAGCGGTGTTGGTGTGTGTACTTACACATCTTAACGGTAAGTACAGCCGTTAAGGTTTCGTAGCACCCATATCTACCTATATCTCAGGGAACATCTCGACTATATTCTGATGCCAACCTTTACATGCTGTGAAGACGCTCTTGAGAAGGGATACGGATTATCCGTTGGATCGCCAGAATGCTTTCAATACAAATCTGGTCTTGTTCAATAATCCCCGATGACGATCCGCCAACGAAGACGGACTTTTCTCAAGAAATCTACGTCGGCGGTTCAGCTTCAGCTAAAGTCCACCTCTTCATAATGTTTGTTTTGTCCTCGTCTCTATGGAATTATGCACTTCTATGCCACGTCGTAGTCGTTTTCATAGTTTTCGGAGGAAATATTGACAGCACTTATTTATTCACAACCAACCAATCTGAATAGATGTTATGGTCTTGCTCAGGAAATTCTGTCCGTAAAATACAGTACTTCATCCGTAATTCTGCAAGATCACGTCGAGTAGTGAAACAGTTTGAAAAACCTATTTTTTAACTGAAATAGGACCAGTTTTTGGTAGAAAGAACAAAGAAAGGTAGGGAGCCGTTTGAAGTTAACATTTTCAATCCTAGCTTCCTACCCTGAGATCTTAACCCGTTTTTCCTGTTGCTCTAGTTTTATTTTTTTGAAACTTTTCTGTATTTTCATATTCTCGTCATTCCATTGCACTCATATGATTTCAGGTTTAAATGTGTGTATAAGGGAATGACATAGTAGACTTACAAAGTGATAATAAGCTCTAAGCCAGCTAAGGTTAGGCGATTTTCAAGCACTGGGGAATTTACGGGAGTCTACTATTAAACTTCTATTTTATGCGAGGATATCCTTACTAAGAGAGATCTTCTGAAAAGTCATTATAATGTTGTTTTCTTAAAAGCGTTAATAAACCGATAATGGACGACTAAAAATCTCATACCCTTGTAGTTTTCGCAAACGTATTTTTCATCAAAACGATGTTCTTAGTAACCAGCGGAGGGTCTCTTGACTAGGGAATTCAGCGCGTCGTAAACATCCTGGGAAATGACAGGGTTGTAGGGTTACCTCCTGAAAGGACGAAGCTTGACAACGAGTTCCCTTTAACGGGTCGAACACTTTCCCTCACGCCAATTGCCCTGCTCCCTCATCCCGAAGCCAGCCCTCCCCCACAACCCATTATTTCCTATTGGACGACGAAAGAAGTTAGTGAAAATTTATGGTTCTTCAGCATATTTTATTCTGTTTGGTATCCCATTCGTACTTCACTAATGTTTGTTTGCCTTTTTGACTCCTTATTTGTTAGTTAACAACTAATAGACCATGATCTGGCATTTTCTATTGAACTGGTATACTTTGGAGGGCTGATGTCAGTGTTTCGATTCCGAAATAACTCTTGTGAAGAATCAATACGAATTTACATATTTGCATATGAAGAAGTGCTTTTTAGACCGCCTTCTAGAGTCGAGTGTTGCCTGTTTCAGTGGCTTTAAACGAAGAGCTCACCAGCCACCACTATGAGCATGCCGTGCTAATCCGCCCAGGGAAGGTCTAGTGGTTCAGAAGGGTCATCTGGGAATTTCGGTTCAGGTCCGTTGACTAGTGTGGCTTTATTGAAACTAATCACAGCAGGGCTGAGAGGCATTGGTCGGGGCGCAATCCGCTTAGCCCGACGACTCCCTCAACCTCTCGCTCACCCCCAAATACCACCCCTACCCGTCCCAATCCGGCGTTCTGTTCGCATTACTCTCATTTTCCTCATCGGCATTTCAAAGCGATAAAAAACAGGTGGTCAGTCTCGTAACTTTGGACTTATTTACTTTTTAGATTCTTTATATCAGTACCTAGACTTATGTTTTATCAATTGGTCCTTGCGGTTCGCAACCAGTTCCTCTCTCATATCATTGAGAAAATGCGGGCCACAAGTTTGCTTTGGGTCAAGCGTATCTGACAGAATGTAAAGTAAACACATTGATACTGCATAGTACGCTGTGGTCTCTAAACTTTGTTATGTCACGTGACCCAGCCCAATTTGCACTTCATTGTGAACTTGCTGGTTAGTTTTTCTTTACTTGGAGTTTCGAGGTGTTCTTGCTAGAGCTTTCTTGCTTGTCACGGTTTACGAGTGAGAATATATCTTGTTACCATGATGGCAATAGTACTGCGCTCTGGTTTGCTCTTAGTTGACCTCTGGACGAAAACATCGAACTCCCCATCTGACTAAACTCTGCTGAGAAGTCTCAAAGTCAAAGACTTGTGTTTTGTACAACGTTATTCAATCTTTACAATCAGAATAGAATTGGGTTTGAAGGGCATTAATGTTTTCGATATCTGAAGTTTTCACTTAATATTCAGGTTGAAAAAGAAAATAAAGCTACACAGTAGTACTGCACTCTCGGTGGTAGTATTTGTTATATTCTTTACATAGTCTATCCGCACGTAAGCCTTTTCTTATTCTTTGTTATCGTTCGGGAGGTGTTTCTTGGCAAAATAATGCTTCAGAAGTCGACTTTCCTTTAACCTCGATATTACTAATCAATATGCATTCTTTCTTTGATAAGCTTAGACGATGTTGACAAATATTCTTTATGCGGCTAACGTTTCAACGTTTTCGTCTTCATCAGAGTCGATGATCCGAACTTATCATCAACCTCTTGTAAGGTCAACGATACACATGTTTTTCTTAGCGCTGGCATTATGGTCGCTATGCTTGGTGTACAACTTCTTTGATATGTGCTTGTTGTTAAGCATTTTTTTTGCTTATGCATCTTTTTCTTTGACAAAAGTACAAAACTACCCAGGCATCAGATGAAGTAAGTAGAAGGCAGAAGGGATCAGTTCCGTTTGTGGGCGAGCATGCCATATAACTACAGAATGGTGTAAATGGTTGATGGAATACTGCACCGTCATCGGGTGGGTGACTACGCTCTACAATAGAGCTGTTAGTAATGTTTACACTTCTCTTCCCAGTGGAGTTCGGTTCGCCATTTTTGGGGTTTTTCGGTCTTTTGACGTTTTCCTTCTGAATTTTGCTGTTAAAATAACAGGGCGTTTGTTTCTAGTGAACTGTAGAACGGGTATTTTTTCTGTATAATCTCGACGTTTAAGGGTACATGTGGCACAGTGATCGGAGGCGCCCTGCAATACACACGTGGAATCGATCCGCGCGCCTATGTCCCACCAAGCCTTCTACATCTCTGGGGTCGGCAAATTAGTACCAGACTTGTATAGGAGGATATCAGCACTGGCTCGATACATCGGTAGGCCACCGCGAGTCATTGTAGAGGCCAGATTCAATCACCTCCAGCGATACTTAATGAAGTCGAATGCATGACGCATCCCTCAGGGATTGATCAACGCCGAGAGCTTTATCGTTTATCCTTTTAATCTTGACGTCCAACGAGGAATGCAGGTAGTAGCTGATATCCTCGTTCTTCTATACTTAATGCAGTTGGAATCGGTCTTTGTATTGTTTTCTAAAACAAATTCATTACCCATTCTGTTCCACACTTTCCTACACCTTTTTATTGTGTTCCAGGCGGCTTCTAAGCTTCCACTCTTAGGTTTCGTTCCTGATTCCATAGAATTTTCGTGCGCAATAGTTATGGGAAAAACAAGGAGAGGAAGATTTATGATAAGATTTGGGGAGTCGTAAACGAGCTCTTATCGATTTATTACCGACTAGTAGTGGTCTTAATGGGAATGGAAGTGTTTTCTATGTATGTACTTCATTTTATTATTATTTTATTATTATTATTATACTTCATTATCATTATTTTTCACTACGTCATCCTATATTCTAGTGTGCTACACACTCCTTCAAAGGGGTGCGTGTAGCGCAGTGGTAATGGCGCTAGGGAAGTCGAATACAGACGCATTCCTCAGGGAATGATCAACACCGAGAGCTCTATCCTTTTACATGCTCCTACGTTTCTTTAATTTTCGTGGGAATTCCACGCTGTTCAACAGATATATCAGAGATGTAATGAAAATTATGATTAGTCAGTTTGTTTTTGTCATCTCTGTTCGTCATTTTTTCCTGCTGAGATGATTAACGTGCTGTTTGTCGTCTTGTCCTCTTCCCATACGTTTGTCCATCTAATTAGCGACTTGTTCCTATCTACCCATCCGTTGTTGTTTTGTACTTTCACATGTCAGACGTGTATTTCTTTACACTAGTAGGTCCGATGTAGCAGGTCCCACATTCCATTATCTACCAAATAAGTTCTGTTATGAGTCTAATGTGCCTCATATATTTTAGCAGTCTTCTTCCCTGACTTTTACCCATCTAATTACCGACTTCTTCCTATCTGATGAACTGATCCGTTGTTCTTTTGTGCTTTCACATGTTAAACGTGTATTTCTCTCAACTAGTAAGTACGATGTTGCAGATCTTACGTTCTAGCATCTATCAGGCAGGCTCTGTTGTGAGTTAAATGTGCGTCATATATGTTCTGTCCGCCTGTTTCTCGGCGATAATTGCTGCACTCCATACTACAACATTCTTTCATTTATTTTGTTTTTCATTCATTATCTTTCTGTTTTACCTGTCGGTCTTATCTCATGGCTCTAGATGTAGATTGAGTGTGATTCATTTCTGATCAAGCGTTACTGGTGTTCGTCTACATTTCCCTGTACTCGATTTCGAATCAGGTTCTCTATCGTCGCTCAACCTTTCATATCCTTAAATTGTTATTTATAAAGACTCTTTGCAGACCCGAAGATGCTCACCACAGAGCAACTCGTGGATCTTTCGGAGAATTTTAATACGGTAGGTTTTGGCATGTGATTTTCTTTCTTTGTTTTTTTTTTTGAAATCGGATCGATAACCATGTTAACTCAGGTGGATGAAAATGGTTCCGGATATTTACCACATAGTGATCTACAGGCTGCACTTAAAGTGCTCGGCATTGATGTGCCAGGATACAAAGTATGTCCGCTTTGATGTTTTATATAGTCTATCTACTTAGGTTTTAATAGAAAACTAATGGGTAGAATTTAGTATAGGTGGTCACATTAACGATATGAAGTATGCGGAGCACCCAGTGTGCGTTTATAAGGAGTTTGTAGTTATTTTTAAAACAGGTGCTAGATCGCATTGACGACGACGAATAAAAGTGCCATTCTTGACTTTCAAACTCCCGTATATTTATTGGGACGTTTCACAGACAAAGAAAGGGGCGTGTTGCGCAGTTGTTAGAGGCGCCATAGGATCGATCCCTGTGTCCTAGACTCGTCAAGCCTTCCATCCCTCCATGGTCGGCAGATTGATACCATACTTGTCCGGGAGAATAGCAACACTGTTTCGGTACATCGGGAGGCTACCGCGAGTCATTGTAAAGGCCACATATGCATTCATTCATCTCCGACGTACGCTTAATGAAGTCGAACGCATGGCGCATTCCATAGGGATTGATCAACGGCGAGAGCTGTATCCTTTATCGTTTTATAGCATTTGCAAATAAGAAACAAACAGAGAGAAACAAGCAGAGCAATTTTGAATTATTTTCCGACGATTTAGACGTTCTCATATGCCGTAATGCTGGTTTTTCCTTCTGTAATGAATGACAAAAAGCAATCGCGTGCGGTCCAAACTTATTCAGTCTGAGAAACCTTTGATGTCGTTGTTGCTGCGGAGAATATTGTCATTATTGTATCGATTATTATCAGATGCGTGAACTCTCTGATCGATACGGTTTTTCAAATTCGGAAAGGATTGAAATTGCTCGATTTGCAACACTCTTTCAAGAACTGGAGAGAGCAAAACATGAAGAAACAAACAGATGGAAAGAAAGAATCGGGTAAGCATTGTTATACCTCGTCATAACTACTTGTACTTGTACTTCAGTTTTTTGTTTGTTCTACCAAGTTCATAAGAGCCAAATATCTGGTTTAGTGTTCATTTTCAGATCTCTTAGCGGCGCATATCAAGTGGCTAGTGATAAACAGGACAACACTGTTCATACAATCAGGACGGAGGTAGATATATTCTAAAATTCTATGCATAAACGATTAATGTTTTTTTCTGAGCTTCTCCGAATTGTTTCTAGGAAGAGAAAGCATTTTCAAATTGGATTAACTCAAATTTATCAATGGATCCTGATCTGAAGCGACTTCTTCCTGTAATTCCCGAAGGAAACGATCTATACACTAAAATTCAAGACGGTCTAATTATATGGTTCGTTTCCCCTTTTGTTGTCTGAGATGCTTTCTGAAGGACAGTCTCGATAAGTAGTCAAGAAAAAAGATGTATAAGCGGGCTTAAAAAACAACACGAAACTCCTTTTACCAGCAGTTATATTCAAATTTTCTTCTCCTCGTAGCTAATTAACTACTTCTACGAATGGTATAAGATTATGGGTGCGTGTAGCGCAGTGGTCGAAGGTGCCCTGGTACACATATGATCGATCCCCACGTCCCAGGCCTACCAAGCCCATCATCCCTCTGGGGTCGGCAAATTGGTACTAATTACACTTGTCAAGGATGGTAGCAGTACTACCTCGATACATTGGTAGGCCACTGCGAGTCATTGTAATGGCCAGATATGCAGTCAGTTACCTCTAACGGTGCTTAATGAAGTGGAATGCACGGCGCATCGCTCAGGATTGGATCAACGCCGAGAGCTTTTAGGTTTTCGTAGAAATATGGGTTGGAATGCTAATGAATAGAGCGTTTGTGTATCTTGAGGACTGGAATCAGTTTCTTTTGGTAGATATTTCTTGACAAATTCGATATTAGTTTTATAATAATAAAAGTTCCTAAGGGTAGTAAGGTTTTAAGTTCAAGTTTATTAAGTTTCGTAACTTTATAATTTCTTAAAAATGTCTCTAACCTTTTGTGACAGATCGTGAAAATTTCAGTAAACTTGTCAATTTGGCCGTTGCTGGCACGATTGATGAGAGAGCAATTAATAAAAAGAATCTAAACACCTATACGAAGCTAGAAAATCTCACATTAGCACTCATGTCAGCCCAGGTTTGTTGTGACTCAACCAATTTTTTTGTTTTTATTTTTCCAGTGAGCCGGAATTTTAGGCCATCGGTTGCAACATTATCAATATCGATAACATAGATCTTAGCAAAGGAACTCCTCATCTTGTACTTGGATTGCTTTGGCAAATCATTAGGGTCTGTTTGTCTCATCGTGTATTTGTTCTGTTTAAGTCTGTCTGAGTGATTTCCAGATATTTGAAGAAGTATCTTCTTTACACCTTACTATACCTTCGCTACTGAGAACATTTCAGATTGGCCTTTTCAATCAAATCGATTTGCAACATTGTCCTGGTCTATTCCGACTTCTAAGGGAAGGTGAAACACTTGATGATTTGAGAAAACTTTCACCTGAAGAAATCTTGATGCGATGGGTGAACTACCACATGGAGAAGGTGTGTTTTTAAACTGTTGTGTTAATTAATTTCTTTTGTCAGTTGCTTATTTCTGTATTCCATGCGGGTGTTTCGCGTCGTCTGACTAACTTTACCATGGATATCAATGATTCTGAGATCTACACACACCTGCTTCACCAGATTGCACCTGCTGGCAGCGGTGTTTCATTGTATCCACTTTCTGTGAAGGTGACGGGCTTCTTTTTTTTCAATTTCTGACTAGATTTATCACTTCCTCACCAACAGATTTCTATTATGACACTTGGCCAAACAGTGGTTTTTAGCGCGATTTAGTTACATATTAATTTAATGGAAGGTGGCTCCACGTTTCTCCATTGTGAAAACTAATGTGCAGTTCTTATAATCACACATCTTCTATGAGACTGTAATCTGTCATGTCTTAAGGGCAATGTGAATCGTGCTTCGGCTATGTTAGATGAAGCGGAAAAACTCGATTGTCGTGAATTTGTGACCCCGAACGATGTTGCGAGTGGAAACTACAAGTTGAATCTTGCGTTCGTCGCTAACCTCTTCAATAAACATCCAAATCTACCAGAACCAGCTGCGGATGAAATTAGTTCGTACTTTTGCCTATTTTGTTTTTGTTTACAGATGTTTGGACATAGGCTTTCTTAAAGTTTTCTCTCATTTATCTGTAATATTGTTTGTTCCTACATATCACGAAGAATATGACGTTTAGTGCATTTGCAGCAAAATTCCTGAGTGCCGAAAGTAATTTCGTTTTTTCACTTACAACAAATACTTACCATCTCGTAATGAATTTTCTTGGCTGAATTGTAAACTATTAGAATGTACTAAGGGCACATGTGACGCAGTGGTCGGACGCGTCCTGCAATATACATGAGATCGGACCCATGCGCCCACGGCTGGCCCACTTAGCCTTCCATCCTTCCGGGATCGGGAAATTGGTACCAGACTTATCTGGGAGGATAGCAACACTGGCTCGATGCATCGGTAAGCCACCGCGAGTCATTGTAAACGTCATATATGCATTCAGTCACCTCCAGCGATGCTTAATGAAGTCGGATGCATGGCGCATCCTTCAAGGATTGATCAACACTGAGAGCTGTATCCTTTATCCTTTAACCACTGTGAAAGTCTGTTTTTTCTGGAGCTCATGTGGACCTTTTTTTCGTTGTGGCTCATATTTCGAGCGGCGAAGGAGAAACAAGTTGTCATATTATTTTTTTAAAATTAGATCTTAAGGGAATTAAAATGGAAGGTAATGGTTGGAAAAACTAGATATACACGTATTGCGCTGAAACGTATAATTCTTCATAGGTTTATTAAGTCCTTAAACTATCAGATGTTTATATTATCGGAAAATTACCCACAGTTATTGAGGAACTATTTTCGCGAATGTGTTAATTCATTAGTTTTTCTTTTTGGACGTCTGTAGACTTTACGTTTTAGCTAACTGTAGTGATTGTATACACGAAATCCTATACATTTAGTTGAGGAAGTCGTTGAAGAGACACGTGAAGAGAAGACCTACCGAAACTGGATGAACTCAATGGGAGTAGATCCTTTCGTCAATTGGCTTTATAGCGATCTGCAGAACGGCTTAATTATTTTCCAGGTGCAGGGTTTTGTATGGTGTTGCATAATAATGGGTGATTAGTGTTAATGTTTATGAAATGCTGGAACACGTAGTTTGCACCAAAGATGTTTTTTTGACTGACTGAGGGCGTGTGCAGCGCAGTGGTTGAAGGCGCACTACAATACGCATGGGATCGGTCGCCGCCGCCTAGGCTCACCAAGTTCTCTGTCCCTCCGAGGTCGGCATATTGGTACCAGACCTATCTGGGAGGATAGCAGCACTTGCCTAATACATCGGTGGGCTACCTTCGACCATTGTTTGGTCCAGATATGCCTTCAGCCACCTCCAACGATGCGTAATGAAATAGAATGCATGATGCATCCCTAAGCGATTGATCAACGCCGAGAGCCTTATACTTCTTTTTCTTTTGTCTGATATAATTCAATATGGTTGTTGTAGTGTGCCAGTGAAGAAGAGCTGCGCTATACATAGTCATTACTTTGTTCCTGTTTTAAGGAATGTCTCCATTTCATTTATCCACCAACAAATTTCACGTTTCTTTTTCTCTCTATCTCGATAATAACGTGTTATAATTATCTTTTTTCTTCATTTTATTATAAAAAGGGAACATATTTCGGCACATTGTGGTTGCAGCTATACGACATTATACGACCCGGTATTGTGCAGTGGAAACGGGTGGTTCGTGTATTCCACAAGTTAAGAGGAATGATGGACCAAATCCAGAACTGTAACTATGCTGTCGAGCTCGGCAAGCAGCTGCGGTTCTCATTGGTTGGCATTCAGGGCAAGGATATCTATGACGGAAATCAAACTCTAACACTAGGTAGGTTTGAAATAAAGTATTCACCGATCAATGGATGAAATATGAAACTTTCGCAGCTTTCATTTTATTTCGTTTTATTGTGTATTTGAAGTACTCACATTTTCAACATCAACATTTTTACAGCTCTCGTGTGGCAGTTAATGAGAGCCTATACGTTGACAATCCTTGCTAAATGCACTCAGAGGGGAGACGCGCTCCCTGGTGATAAGGATATTGTGGCTTGGGTCAATGAGAAGGTTTGCGTTTCTAATTCTTGAAGGTTGAGTGTTTTCAACCTTTGGTTTTCAATTTTTCAACTGCATACTGTGCAGGTTGATTTCTTTCTGCTGGTATTATATGTACTGTCAGAGTGCATTACTGTGCTATAAAGAATCTAGTCTTTATTGTTCTATAGCTGGCCTCGTGCGGGAAATCCTCGTCAATCCGCTCGTTCCAAGATCCCTGTATCTCAGATGCGCTGGTTGTACTAGACCTCGTCGATGCCATAAAACCTAACATTATTGATCATTCACTAGTTAGTTTTCGTGCTTTGTTTTTTGAGCGTAAAAGGTTAGCTGAGTGCTTGTATGATTTATGGCGTAGGTGAAAACGGATAGAAGTGTCACTAGCAATATGGAAAATGCCAAATATGCTATTACATGTGGCCGTAAAATCGGTGCCAAGATATATGCACTACCGGAAGACATTGTTGAGGTATCGTCCATAGTTCTGCCTTTTTTATGTTTTGTTCTTGACAAGGTTTTCAACTAGTTTTCCTTTGTTTTTTCAGGTAAAGCCGAAGATGGTCATGACGGTCTTCGCCTGCCTAATGGCTCGTGATTATATGCCCGACATGAGAGAGTCTGCTACGGCTCCAGTTAAACCATTAATCTCCTAACTTTTAGCTGATTACTAACAATTGATTATAGTAAATTTTACGCCCAATTTTACTACTAACAATTTTCCCATGATAATATAACTTTTGTTCTCCCCAATTTCCCTATTCCTTTACGGATGTTTGCTATCTCTTCCATCTTCTGGTTAAGTATTCGTTTACTTTTATGAAAACCCCGGTTTTAATCTTATGTTACCCATCCGGTACCATATGTTTCCTCCGCAGTTATTTATTTCCTAATCTCTTTCATTCCAAAAAGGTATGATTCTAGTATTTGTCCCACTATTTAAAAGGATCTGGGAAATCCGCTTTGTAATTCCAAACCGACGTTTTCGCTTTCCGATTCACTTTATCTCTGGGCGCAGGGAGCAATGAGGTTTTTTTTTGACTCACCTCAGCTATTTGATTTCACTTGAGCGTTGATATTTTCATTTGGGTAGTTTCATAGTGGAAACTCATTCCTAACTTCTAACTCTCACAGTTGCTCGAACTAATCAAATCTTTGTGCTTTATTCTGATGATTGTCGTCGATAAAACAAATTGATTTTTTTATCACGAGACTAGACATCTGTTGCTCTTTTTTGTTTTCGCTATTCTTACAGTTGACAACGGTGGTATGCCATGATAGTATTTCTGAAATAGCGGCGTGTGTCACTTTGAAGTACTAGTTCTTTTAAAGGAGTTGAAAAGGTTAAAGCTTACTCGGTTGAGTGAGGCAGCGACGAGAAGCTTATTCATGTAGAATGCGTCGTCTTCTGAATCAGACGAGGAGGTGCTAAAAGTTTCTCTTGAGCTATATCTTATATGTAATTTAACACTAAGTATAATTGGGGTATTTTGAGGTAGTCGATTAGAACGGTAGAGATAAGCGTTAGTAGGACGTAGCCGTTGTTTTCTTATAGAGTTTAGTCAATTCTGAACTAAAGTAATACCAGTATCCATGTTCTTCCCTTCGTCGTGTTTTGCTGGGTGTACGACTGTAATGATTCCGTAGCTCGGTTTCTTCTTTGAGATGGTATTCGGTATGTTGGGCTGTTGATGGCAAGACGGTTTCGTACACGTTCTCGCCTGGAGGCGGCGGAGGTGCTCGCTGAGGTGGACGAGGAGCATTCGAAGTTGAAGGCAACCTGGAATCAGGTTCCACCATTATTGAACCTTCCAGTTGTTTCAAAACAGTGCTGTTCATTGGATCGAACCCCGTTGATGCTTCTATCATTCTGTTTTCCCTAGGAACAAATTTTCGTCCACGATTGCTCGTTGTGGTGGCTGGAATTCTCTTTGGTGGTGACGAGCAAGTAGGAATACGGTCATCAATGAATAGTTCCTCTGAAAAAGTGTTATGTTTCCTTATTTAAATGGATTTATAGTGCTTGGAGAGACTTTGATTAAAGGAAAATGAGAGCAAAGTGCTGTTTGGAATTCGATCTATACAGATAAAAAGAATTAGGACGAAGTAATCCATTGGGCTCCCATTTCTTCTTGTGTGAGTTTCCATAAGCGATTAGTGATGAATAAATAGGTAGAATGTCGTTGTTTGGGAACTCATGGCAATTAGAATGTATATTTTGATAGTTGAGCATTTGGCGAAAATCCCTCGGTTGTGGGAGCTGCATCCAGATGACCGGCCAGACGCCGTTAGTTTTTGAATTTGTGTAAACTGCTCTCTCACCTTCTCCACCGCAAGTTTTATATCCGCAGTAGAGGCTCTTATCCACCAACGTGTACTTTTTGCCGAGCAGATTCTTCGCACAGACCGAACAGCAAAAACATCGTTGGTCGGCATGCCAACTTATGTCTCCCTAAAGTGCTTGGAACAGGTCAGAATGTCTAACAAACGGCACAAAGTTCTCTTAGAAAGTGATTTCAGCGTAAGACAGTTTAAACGCGTTCAAATATGATTTCGTCAGATACTGTGCACCATCGGTGTTTTAGATTACTTTTTTGCAATCAGTCACTAGGAATAATTGTGTTTGGTGCTAATATTTACGTGCGAAATAGGTAAAGACAAAACTCTCAGCGTTGATCAATCACTGAGGGACGCACCATGCATTCGACTTCACTAAGCATCGTTGGAGGTGATTGAATGCATATCTGGTCTTTACAATGACTCTCGATAGCCTACCGATGTATCGATCCAGTGCTATTGTTCCCCCAGACAAGTCTGGTACCAATTTACCGACCCCGGAGGGATGGAGGACTTGGTGAGGCTGGGGTGTAGGGATCGACCCCACGTGTATTGCATGTCGACTCCGATCACTGCGCTACACGTGGCCGTACGAATGTTACGAGTATGTCGGTTAATGTCAAGAAATACAGATCTTTGATATCTAAATATATAGAAAGTGGGTAAATAAGTCATCACTAATACTGAATACCAGGATCTCGAAACACTGGGCACAGGTTTCGAACAAGTTCGTCGGTTCACCAGATTGCAGCAAACAAATTGATGGGAAATATGATTCGCAAGGCAAAGAAGGTATTTTAACTTATTATTTATTGCCTACTCTTTCTTTTAACGGTAAGGTATATATTGCCAAATAGAACTTCAATGATGCTGAGATGTTTGCAAAACTCTGGATCGCCAGGTGTCTGCTATAGGGAACGAACGTGCTATTGTTCTTTCCGGGGAGTAACGCGTTCACCACCACACCATGTGGGCCCTTCGTTCCGCCTGTCTCTCAGCTAATTCTATCGATCTTTTGCCATCAGCAATCACCCGTCAGCGGGATTGATCTGGGGAGCCCAAATTTTTTTTCAATGATGCTGAGATATTTGCAAAACTTCCAAAAACATGAGTGACGGCACTAATCGATAGAATTAGCTGAGAGACAGGCGAAACGAAAAACCCCCATGGTGTGGTGGTGAAGGCGTTACTCCCCGGAAAGGACAATAGCGTGTTCGTTCCCCACGGCAAACACTTGCGGTCCGGAGTTTTGCAAATATCTCAGCATCATTGAAAGGTGGTAATGTTCGTCGGAATTTTTACAAAAACTAGATTCATTTAAAGCAACATTTAGGCAACACTTCAAGATAGGCGTGGCTCTGGCTAGTTTTATGTAATAATTTATAAACAACTGAGTGCTATTTGCGCAGTTTATCGAGTTTAAAAATACTTTTTACTCTTAACTAATTAGTACGAAAACAAACCTGCGAAATATGAGGATGATCGTGAGGTATCGTGCCGTTACAAGTAGCGCATGACAATGACGAAGAGCCGTCGGAGTGGAAACATTCCAGACAAACGGGCTTGTTGTTTCTGGAACCAGAGTCAGATTTAACTCATTCCTGACGACTCTTTACTTTCAGCGTTTGCAGATTTGTTAGTTCTTTTACAATAGACAATAATTTTCCGATGAGTAAAGGACTTGAACAGTCGTCAACATAACAGGATTTTCTAGGAAACTTTGCTCTATCGTTGTATTGGTATGAATGGTATGTGTGGAATTATTTACTACATGTCACTCTGGTCTATCGTGCAAACACATCGCTGTAAGCATTTGGAATACTTTGCAGCTTATTTTGAGTTTTGGGGTTTTTATATATATGTATTCCTTTAAGTGAACATGATTCATCATAGGGATTAGCCTATTTCGCACATGTGCCTTTTTTTCTTGACTGACTCGACCGAATATCAGAAATTTTTCGTGGGTTGCGAACTTTTAGGTTTCTTGATAATAGCAATTTTTTCCTCAATAACCAGAGGACTTGAGGGGTTCTGAACCTGAAAGGATGCTAGAAGAACCTTTGCTATATCGTTCTGTGAGTAGGAATGGTATGTACGCGACCATTCACTCTACGTTCCTGTGGTCCATATTGCAAATGCACTGCTGTCGACATATGGAAGTGTTTTTCAGCTTATGTCCAGTCTATTTCGCTGTTTTCATATCCACATGTTCTATACAATAACTAATGCGATTAAAATCAAATAGCAGTTAATTGTTGGTCAAGGTACCGGTCAATGAACTTTTTCGAAAAATGTTTCCAACCACAATGAAGCTGAGATATCTGCAAAACTCCTGACCACAGGTGTCTACGATGGGGACCAAACACGCCACTACTCTTTCCAGTGACTAACGCGTTCATCACCACGCCATGTGAGTCCTTCGTTTGCCCTTTCTCTGAACTCATTTTCTATCGAAAGCTTCCAGTCTTTTTTATGATTTACAAAAAGATTTTTTGTAAAACATTAATTGTAAAGAACGTCTTTCCTGATATGACCCCACCCATTTTGATGTGCTTTCGACTATTTATGGAATGAGTATACACAGTGCGGTGAAAAGCTGGTACTAAATTGAGTATAGGCTCTGTAGTATCCATAAGGCTATTTGGTCCAAACCATTATGGGTTAAAATGAATTAGCTGTTAATTGTTACCCAAATCACCAATGGGAGAATTCTTTCGAAAAAGGTGTTTTGCAAACCGTTACTTGAAGAAAGTGGTTTTCCTGGCCTTACCTCTTCTACGTTGCTCTGCTTTCGATAAGCTATTGAATGATTACAAAAAGTACAGCGGAAAAGCTATTAGCGACAAAATAAGCCATCTGAAAGAAATGACTTCTACATAGCTCGCGTCAACCACTCGCGCCACCAGGTATGGACACTGCGGTGTCCATGTCGTTGCAAATAGGTTAGACGATGTCCGGTTCCATGGATTTCTATGGTCATAGAAGCTTCATTAATTTGTTTCTATTTGGTTATTGTTATCTAGGGAACATAAACGATGGGGAATTTTATGTAGAGTCCGCATAAAACGAAGCTTAATTTTTCAACGCACATATGAATCGTATGTGACTCATACCAGTCACTCATCTAGCCAGAAAGACCGCCATGTATGCTCTTCATCGGTGACAGTACTGTGTTATTGCGATTGTAGAAAAGGCAAGCAACCGTCGTTTTACTCATGTACATGCGTTTTGCGCCAAGAGCCATCACAGTGCTTCCCTAACCAGCAAGTGATCTGTGGCGACACAAACAAACTTTTTAGGAAAGCGTTTTTTGTAACTTATTAAGTTATACAAGATGGCTTGCCCCAACAGGACAGCATCCCTCATTCCCCCAATAGGACAATATTTCGGCTGAATAAGTTATCTACTGAATTCAAAAAGCGTTATGGAAAGAGCTCTGCACCCTAAGTAAACAGCGAGGAACAGCGTGGACGTACACATTCATGTATTCGTATCGTCTTGTGTGTGTTAAACGATGGTATATCACCATGATTTTTTAAAACAAAGCTTCCTGTATTAGAACTACGCATAGTGCCCTGTGCTAACCTTTGCATATATTTTTGACCTCCCAACTCCTTGGAGCAATCTGTGCATAGAAAGTGGTGATGGTGCCATGTTCGTCCCTCGGCTTCCGTACATTCTTCACCGAATATGAGCTAAAAATAGACGCTTTCAAAATGCTGCGGCTAGGACTCATTTAAAAATAACCGTAAACAGACTTTTAAAGGTGGTTAGAACCAATATATCGATTATTAGAGATGCTAAGATGGAAGAAATGGTGTCCCACGCACGTATGTGTGTTTTGTATCTTATCCTCGATTGCTCGATTTTACTCGGCACTTAACCACCCCTGGTGGATTTTTATGCGTCCATAAAAATTCTGTTGCTGAAACGGGGAAAAATCTCCGCTATTGTCTGAATCGACGATTCGCTCTGGAGTTAGTGCTCGTGGGCAGCTGGTGAAATGTGCTTGGCGCTGGGGGTAACTAGGAAAACATGATGCTCCATAACATTATCACTTGGTGATTCTTCAGGACTTTTGACACTATGGGACCAAGATGTATCGGAATGGCAATAGTAGAGACCCAATAAGATTGGTTTAGGTGGGTGGTCGGCTACACAACGAAGTGGAATTCATTCTTAGTCATAGAACTACTATTCCAGTTCCATTAATGGAATTACTATTCTACTTGAGAACAAATATTTGTTGTGCATCAAAATACAGGGTTTAGAAACTCTGCTATGCTCCTGTGAGGTGATAAACTTATGAGCTAAATTTGTATATTTATGTCAACAACCCGTTTTCTTCATCAAATGCTATGCATGAAGTGAATGGAATAAAAGAGAGAAAAAGAATTAGAGTTTCCTACGCGAAAAGGACACAAAAAAACTACATCGACTTTTTGTGGTATCAAAGCAAAGGGAATGAAGTTTTAGTGGTTTTGAAGTGCAGTCTGTTGAAACGACATCGTTGTTATTCACAAATAGTTATTCACTTTATCGATAGTAACTGCTCTTTCAACTCTTCAGTTTTGGATGTTTTGTTGCTTCATATGAAACGAATAGCTGGGATGTGCCAGCAAGTAATTGACTAGTCACATACGGTGATCTGTCAGCAGCTCATTAACATTCTGACAGAAATCGCCACTGTTCATTCGACCGCTTTCATTTTAGCCAATCATATTGCTGCCTATCTAAGATGCTTATCAGTACGTTCTGATGATATTCCATATTTGGAGACCATTAAGTAGTATTAGATTTTTCGTTTTCCAAAGTATAGTAGAATGTACAGTGTATAGTAGAATTGACCGCCACTACAAATGTAGAATTTTTGAAGGTAACGAATATCGCAACATTTCCATTGATGTGGATAAAGCCACAATGAATCCGAACCGTCCTCGCCGTCGTAGTCGAACAACGGCACGTTGCATCAATTAGACGCCAGCACAACAACGAAAAACATCAAGCGGCCGAAATCACCGACAGTAAAGTCGAATGCCCTACACTTTCTTCGAATGTTCTTTGCAAAGACGTTCTTTGCGGATTTAAACTCCTTCGACCAAGGTCGCCGAAATGTATAGAAACAAAATTTAGTGCATCGCGTTGGTATACCAGGATTACGAAGGAGGGGGAGAAGTGGACCGAAAAGGAGTTAACTCAGATTTGGTTGTTTAGATGAGTTCATATGCTTCTATCGAGGTTCTGTTTGATGAGATTTCGTTGTTAATTCCTGTTTCTGGATTTGTTTCTCGAAAAAACTCCTAGGATTTCTAGATCTCTTTATATTACTATTCCAATTGCTTATTACTAATACCATTCTAATATCACTGTACTACTAAAGGAGTGGACTTCGCCTTGATTACCAAATAGAAAGTAACCTTCCCATCAACAGTTTACATCATCGTTCAATAACAGTTGTGAAGCCCGACGATTTCGCTGCGCATTAAGCTTAAAAGGACTTCCAGTAAAATGTGGAGTTGAGTTTGTCCAATTCAGAAGCCGATACTTTCCCAAAGGTGACGATCGTCTTATCGTTCAGTATATATCGATCGCAACAGGAACGATCACGGTATTGAAACATGAAGGTTGAGAAAAGTTTATAGCTACGAATGAAGTCAAAATCAGGACATGTGGAGGAAAAGTCGAAAGGGCGTTTCACGTTGAAGACGATTCACATACCACTCAACATTTCCTCTGTATTGATATCCCCCCTATTTCTTAATCAGAATCTTCGCCTCAAGTGCTCACCATATGTTTGGAGTTCAAATTAGCTCCTATATAGCAACAAATAGTATGCAGCACGACCATTAGAACCACCGTCTTTAGTTGGTACGATTGTCTATACTGTCATATATTCTGGTTCTCTTCTTTTTTCTTTCATTCCATTAGCTCCAATCGAAACAAGAATTCAAATGAGGCGAATAGACTCGCAATATCTTGCTTTTATTTATTGCTTTTTCTTTCTTCATAGCAGGATATGATGTGAAATACACTACAACGATGCTGAGAGATGAGCATCACCGGGACCGTCGGGTGAGGCTCGAACCCTCGATTACCCTTTACGACGGTCCACATGCTATCTGCTACAATAAGGAAGAGTCCGTGCTTTGCCTTTCTCTCGCCCAGTTTTAACCCCAACGGTGTTATCAGCAATCACACGTCAACGGGAATGGTCTTGAGAGGACAAATCGTTGTTGAACCTAGTTAAGCTGAAGCTTCAGTCGAAATCATAATGTTTAACTTCTATTTACTGGCTATTTTTTCCCGAAGAGGGTAATCGACGGGTCGAAGCCTATCTGAGGTTGCGAGATTTGCTCATATTTAAGTATCTTTGTAATTTGTAAGTTCATATTCTTATACAACCTTGAACTCCCTACTTTTTAGTTTTGGATATTTTTTAACGAATTCTGTTTTTCACCCGTATGAAACGGGGCGTGTGACTGTCAGCACTCATCGATTCCCATTCTTCTTCAATGCATTGTTGTCTCATAAACTTCCGTCACTTTGTCGCTATAAACAGTACGCGCACGTGTTGCGATCGGCATTATTGCGGGAAAATAAGCCGCTTGTGGGCCAGATGTCTCGAGAAATGATCAAATCAAAGACATCGACCCGAGAGACAAAGAAACAACGACGATGACCGTCACCGAATTCGGTAGTTGTCCGTTGGTGCCGAGAGCTGGACATTAAATCAGCAGAGAACTGAACGTAATGGAAAAATATGAAGTGGTTGGCTGATAAGCCTAAGAGTTCATGGACTCTAGATCAGCAAATATTTATGAATGGAAGAAGAGGAGGCTTCTGTGGGAGCTGAGTCAACACCTTTTCTTTATACTCACGTCAATAATTCTTTCCTTCAACGAATTTCAACCAAGGAATATTGCGATGGTTTGCCCGAGCAAAGATGAAGGGAAAACTGCTATTAGATAAGAACAATTAAAGAAGGAGGTATTCTTCAATTCATAAGTTTGGTAATGTTCAATTGTACGACATCCAAAAAAAAAATGAATAGCTTGCCTCGTCGCACCGTGCACATCTGGGCTTGATCTGTTCGGCATGGTGTCGACCACAGAATATCTTAAATTAGATTTATTTTAAACATAGTTGATAGGATAACGTGATTGAAGAGGATTGGAAGACATCTCTAATCAGATTAAGGTGGTCGGCTATGTCTCCAGCCTATTCACACTTTATTCGCGCTAGGAGTAAAATTTTGGGATCGCATCATACGTTCATGCTAAAGCGCAACACAATAAGATCGTTTATGGATCAGCAGTTAATGATTCCAAAACAAGGAATCAGTCGGCGAAATTATCAAGGACTCAAAATCAATCTGAAGAACTTGCTTCTAGTTTTCATCAGAACCTCAGCCCGACTTTTTGCGACATTTTCGACCCATATTGAAGGTAACCATTCAGCGAATAACTGGTAGAGACGTGTATTGCGTAGAAGAGGAGATCTATACGCTACCAGGAAGTGCGGCTACTTCGCATTCTGTCTGACAACCGAACATAAAAGACGCGAACGTGAGCAATAGATTTCTTCTGATACTTCATTCGCGCTGGAGAAAATATTTCCAATGCTTCAACTATGTTTATCTAGATAAAGAAACCAACAGCATGAAATTCTTAGCTCTAGGGTTGAACAGGGCGCAACCGACATTTTGAGGAACTCACAAAAGCATCGAGGCTTTCGTGAAAAAGGCACGAAATATCCACCTTTTCCACTTCAGTTCCAGTCTTTTTGACTTGATATGTAGCCCAAAAATTTAGACACTACAAAGACTGGATTTAAAGACTGTTTTGAAAATGGTGTATTCACTTTTCCCATCTTGAAGCGTTGTAGAAGTTATTCGTCCTTCACACTGGTTTGCTAATTTCTTCGCCAGTACGCTTTCTTCAGGGTGAAATTCGATGCTTATCTTCTGTGCTTGCAGTTTATACGATTTTCTTTTAGGTGTTATGAGCTACCAAATACACTTAATAAGATGTCGAAGCGGTAGACATTTAAAAACTAAAGTAAGTGCCTAATTTCTTTTCCGCACAGGTTGTACTCACATTTCCGTTGTGGGAGAAGTAGATGAGATCGACGAGAAGAGTTCTACATTCAAAACACTGAAAGCAGCTCGGATGGTAGGACGATCCGGTGCGAGAGGCGAACACACATATTTCAGCTTCGTCGAACGGCTGGTTACACTGAAAATCTTACTGTTAACACCAATAAACACAATCGTTTCCTACTGTCTTCAGTTTTTATTTCGTTACAAAAAAACAAATGCGGGAAATTGAATGTGAAAGGTTCCTGCTGGGAACGAGAGGTAGTAAATAACATGAGATTCTTTTATATCATTAACCGAATTAGTCGCTGCTTCAAAGGAAATGCTTGCTGTTGCAGTAGTTTAACATAAGCTTATCCAGGAAGCCAAGTCACCATTGTTCTATACAGCTGCAATTGTACGTTCCATTTTGTCACTATATTTAGTATAGCTGTGTCGTTGTTAATCGAGTGGTTTGGTTCACCGTTGATTGTGTGCTGGTCTTCCCCCACAGTGCCCGTCTAGTCCGTAACACTCGGTGGTTGACTATGCATGACGTGAGGCGATTTGCATGCGCGATCGCATATTTCACCCCACCAGCAGCTGACCCATCCAAATCACCAGTGTAAATCACGGTGCTTCCTCTAAGCAAACAATAACTGTCGCTATAACGAGTTCAGGAATCAGAAGAACAAGAAAAACATAAAACGGGGAAAAAAGGTGGAAGTGGAGTTCCAGAATGAAATTGCCCCTCAAAAAGTTAACCTGGAAGGAAACAAAACGCATCACAGACTTAGTAGGGATCTTTATCATACCCGACGAAAAGTGTAGAATTCCACCTGGAGTGGTGTCTGTTCGGTAACTGTTGGTTTTTATTCGCTGTAGTTGAACTAACAGTGGTCGTTGTCGGTGACCTTTGTTGGTCCGAGAGTTATCCGTGGATAATCCGAAGTATAGACGAGATGCCCCTTTCGGTGCCGTGGATCATGCGAAGCAGCTGCGTCATCGACAAGGGTCAAGCAGTGAAAACGATATGGGCCAGAACGCTGTGGACAGATGCGCCATCATCACTTCACCAACAAACATCATCACTAATGATGCTTCAGTGCTACTCGAGATGTTCAAAGCAACCAAACTAAAAAATGTCGAGTCTAGAGAGGCGGAAAAGTTCATTAAGCTTACTAATGATGTATTATTTAAGAGCTGTTCAACAACATTCCAATCTTAGAGCTCCATATATGTTTGCTGCCTTATAAAGGAATGAAATTTTTGATTAGAAGTGTTTCGAAAGATATTTTGGACTCAAACTAGATTGATTGAACTACTTAGTGGAAAGCCAAGAAGTGCTATGTTAAAAGGGCCATATTTTTCTAATTTCTTATTATTTTTCCCTCTTTCTTTCCTTTTCCTAACATGTCTTCCATCGTAGATGTTTCCAAGCATGACAGCTAGCTCACGTTCCTGAGTGCACTTGAACATTACGGTGCTCATATATTCACATCATTCGATGTGTAGAATATTTTTCTTCCGAAGCTCACCACGACTACGCAAATTTTGGATTTTGCTGACTTATGTTTCGAAGCTGACAAATTTGGAATCGGTATGGTATTATTGATTTTGATAACTAAAGATTTCAGAGTCACTACTGAAGACATCGTTTCGGGTGTGATGACATTGCGTCTATGATTTCTTCAGTTATTGGACGCTTTTACGAGCACAACGGACGACCTCCTGCAGAGTTTTACGAAACACCGCCACATCGCCGTTTATGAGTTCAGCCGATCGGCTCAGTGCTGAGTTTCAACATCAGCAACAAGCCATTCCATTGCAAGAACAGTGGACGACACCGAGTGAATGGCTCCCCCGACGAGGGAAGAACTTTTTCGTACGAAAGCTTCGATGGTGACGATCAAGCATCTGCCGGCGTTGCAATGACATTCGGACAAGTGGACTGTTTGTTACGAATGGAAATAGAAGTACTGACAGCAATGCGGATGGTTTGGAGTTAGCTCTTCGACGTTTACATTGAAAAGCACAATATGTAATATATTTTTGGAGCTTTCAGTCTTCTATCTTCCCTAACAAAGCATTAATAATCAAAAATTATATAAAGGAACTTGAGTCAAAACCTTTTAAAGTAGGAAATAGTTTTCTGCTATCACAGCTTTGCCAGATTCTCTACTTACTCAAACATCTACTGGTTATATGCTTGCCCAGCTGTTTACAACGAGTGCTTCAAGAAAAGAGAAAACCTTGAGGTTTGAATCGTAAACGACAATGACCAATTTTGGGTTTTTTGTTTAAAATTGCTGATATAGAGCCACATTCTTTCAACTGCTAGCTGATAGGTACTTTAAAGATTTCGGACCGTTTTTAATTCGAGAGGTCCGTTCCCGTTATTGTTTTAGAGGGTCGAGAAGACTGGCCGAAGATGAGGTCGGCATGTTTGGCCGGCACACGCGTTCTCAAGTGACCGACAATTAGGCATATCCTGAATGGATGAGCTATGACAGTGTGGCACCGTCCATCTGCTAGAGAGGTGCAGTCGTTGTTGTCTAAGGTCAAACACCAAGTGCTCTTGATGGCAACCCGAAGTGAGCAACTGAGTGCAAGAGGGATAAAAAAATTCACTAGATTTTACTAGAGATTTACAAATTCTGGAAGATGGAAGCCATAAGAATTCAAAGTCTTCGGCTTCCGACCCTTCTGGGACGCCTAGAGCAAACACAATATGTTTCTTAAAGACTACGTTCGTGGTTCATTGTACCTCGAATCTTAGAAAGACATATTATTATCACCATGATCTTATACTCAAACGCTTTTTGAAAGCCAAATGACATTCTCAGAACCACCGTTTATTCCTTGTTCGCCTATTTCTCTATGGACGTAACTTTTCTGCTGCTTGTAAACTTCTAAAGATTTGGAACTGATGTAGGATTCAGAAGAAGGTATAGCGCTCTTTTTATAATGCTGCATGCTTCAAAGTAATATAAAGCAAAGTAGTAAAGACCCTCAATTTTCTTCTAACCCAGAGATTTTTCTCCCACATTTAGCACAGCTGTTTTGAAAATTGGAGAAGGAAAAGCAACCCTTCTAGCGCTTTTTTTTTACAACCGGCCATATACCGTCTGTGCCGACAGACCGTCACAAATCCATCGAATGATTCATGCGGTAAAGCAATGCTGGTGCGTCACATGGGACACCGGCATTTCATCTGAAGACGCTACGATTAAAGAAAATATCCTTTTCACCGGGAACTCTAGTAATGTCTTTTAGATCACATGAATTAATTGTCCACACTGAGATTCCAGTGACTTTTCGATTTTCACTGAGGTGTCCAGGTGTGGAACTCGTCCGAGATCTACATAAATGGTTAGTTCATTAATTTTTCCTACAGTCTAGTAAGATTTGAAACGTGGACTTATGCATTCGATGAGCAGAAAATTCGCGCTCGGCTAGGTAGACCGGTTTGATGAGACCCATGAAATCTGCACAAAGGACGCGCAATTATGAGGAACAGTTGAAAAATTGGATGTGACACTGGCACCAGTGGGCGGAATTTATCTTAAACGACTGAATGTGAAGAAAATTTTGGGAGTTAAGTACTCGATAGTGAGAAGAACAAGCCTTCGTGACCAGTTTTGCTCCGAGTATAAACAGTACTTAAGTTTTTCGTCTCTAGTTGAAATTTGTTTACAACATTTATGGTAAAATAAAGGACGCGTGTGGCGCAGTGGTCGTAGGCGCATTGGAACACACGCGTGGAATCGATCCCCTCGCCCATGGTTCATTAAGCCTTCAATCCTCCTGGGGTCGGAAAATTGGTTCGACACTTGTCTGGGAGGATAACAGCACTGGTTCGATACATCGGTAGGCCACCGCGAGTAATTTTAAAGGCCAGATATGCATTCAATCACCTCCAACGATACTTAACGAAGTCGAATGCATGGCGCATCCCTCAGGGATTGATCAACGCCGAGAGCGTTTAGCTTTTACGGTAAAATGCGACTTCGAAACAGAGACATGTTCTTGTTTCATTGTAAAAAGTCTTCCATTTAATGAATACGAATGCTTTTTGTTAACCAACCGTTCCACACTTGCGATTCCTATCATCGTAAGGTATCCAGTCAATTGTTCCTCTACCAAGACATTCGGCCTTTCGACGACGCTCGAATAGCCTATAAAATCTCATCATAGACCGGATTCCAGCGGTAAAATGACGAAATGAAACTGGTTCCATAATTATAAAGTCAACTTATTTGAAAAAAGGATTCATAGTGCAATATCTTTTCTATGAGTTTTAAAATGTGTGAAGGTAATAAACAAGTAGAGCACTCTCACACGACCTCAGCTCATCCTCCTCTTCGGAAGTGAGTCTAGCGCAATATCGTGGATCTGAGTCTTGTGGTGGAAGCTGGTAGCGTAACTGCCGTAGACGCCACTTCTCTCCAACGCTGTTCACGTATGGTACTTTTTCCTCTGGCAGTGTCGCAAAGTACATATGAATCTGAAGTAATCGTTTCAATTCAAACAGCGCTAATGAAAGACAGTATTGAATCCTTCTTACTGGTAACTAAGTTAGTAACAAGCGAACCCATGGGCCGGAAACTATCGCCGGATCTCTATTTTAAGTTAGTTATTTATAAAAAATCGGGATATTCTCTTACGAAGATAAGAGTTCTTCGCTCGATTCCTCAAGCCACATTTATTATCAGTGATATTTTCGATTTTTTGGATTTTAACAGTATTGTTTTAAGTCCAGTTGTCGAATTCTGTAATTTTTCCACTTGAAAAAACAGAACCAGCGATGAAGGTATTGCTGGGACGATGAACGCGGTGTTCGGCGCAACCTCAGTTAATCAACGCACTATCCAGCATCCAACAAACTGAATTTCCGCTCCGACCAACCTAATATTCAAACTCACCATATTCGGCTTAAGACCGTTGGGTACCCATGCGTACTCTTCAAAAACACAACCAGAATCATCATCGCTAGTAGAATGACGGTGGATGTCGGCCGCTATCCTGAGTCTCGATGCCGGAGACAGGCCGCCATCTTGACGCGCCATTCGCAACTCTCGACTGCGGCGACGTCGTCCTCGATCGGTCATTTTCAGAAAAATCCTGAACTATATCCATGCTTATTTGGCTCTGAGTCTTACATATAGTTATGAATTTCTAAAGACAACGATAATGATGTTAAAGCTGAAGCTCATTTACACGAAATATCGAGATCTATGAAGAGTACGATGGCGTTTGGTACTGGGCAACCCAATATGATACCGAGCTCCGTAACAATCTGCTTGTTATTGTAGCAAAGAAAGCATTTGTCGCCGTCACCACAATGATTCACAACGTATTTGTCACAACCAATGCTGCAAATTTATGGTTGTACGGATATCTGAGGGCGCTGGAGGTTATTCCTTGTTAAATTTCCCGTTGACTAGTGGTGCTGTAGTGGACCTCTTAACTTAAGTCATTCCGAAATCGTTGAGTCGGCGCGACTTTGACAGCGCCATAATAGAGATGGAAACATCATCATAACCACAAATGCCGCAAAATTATTGGCGGTTTGAGGAAATTCTATGAGATTAGGCGCTCAGAGAGTACCCCTTAAAGTCGAGAACAATGACGAAGATGAAAATGACATATGGATTGAACGAAAAATGAACAGGATGTAGGTTTTCAGTGAGTAGTCCCAACACTCATATTTCACAATATTCACATTTATTGTGCCCAATAGTATACTCCTCCCAACGGTCTACCCCCTCATCGTGGCTGGGAGGTGTTCCTACGTGTCGGACTGCGATGTACAGCGAAGGGTTCGTCTCCCCGGTAGTGTCTCCCAAGCTGAGAACGAGTCCGGCGTTTCCATCAAGAAGCGTAGCTGAGAGTAAACCAATACCAGGTTCCACCACCGTCCTGGCATCAAAGTCGCATGGTGGTAAATCTCCCTCTGATCCACAAGGGCTGTGACTGCCAGTGGTGGTAAAGACCTGGGGCAGACTTTGCCCAGGCTGACCTCGGGACTCCAGAGAACCATAATGGCTTAACTAGCAAATCTCCGAAAAATGCACATTATGCTGGGGCCCGTACAACCAGTGAGGACGGGCCATTCAAGTATCAAGTATCAATAGTATACTTGTTTTAAGTGAATTTTGTTCATACTGCGTTAACAAATATCATTTGATTACTGCCTGATAGTAATAGCAAAAGGGACTATATAACTCCAACAATGCTGAGATATTTGCAAAACGTCGGACCGCAGGTATCTGCGGTGAGGAACGAACGTGTTATTACCCTTTCTTGGGGTTAAAGTGTTCATCACCACACTATGCAAGTTATTCGTTCCGCCTATCTCTCAGCTAGTTCTATCGATTAGTGCCATCAGCAATCACCCGTCACACCATTAGAAAGAGTAGGCAGTAAATACCAAGCTTAAATGAACTATATTTTGGTGTACTCAGATTTCTTAGGATAGAACTTTCGCGGTCGGTTCTTAACGGAAAGTGCATCGATCTTTGATTACTGTATATGGCTAGTTTTCGTCCTAGTAGAATTGTACTGCGAAATAGGGACAGTTTGACATTAAACAATGATGACGGACTGACGACAGAAGGAGATTGAATAGAATTACTTTACGGAAGTTAGAACGACTAGTACAAGACTAAGCACGTTTAGATAGTAATCATGTGGAGATGGTCATAAACACAAACGGCAGGAGACTTTCTTTCAATCACGCTATTTTATCTCTCAAAGGTTAATTTGTTAATGAACTATTCGACTACCAGCTTTGTAATGTACGAAATGAAGTGAATGAATGAATAACCTTCCAAACCAAAGAATGGCTTGAAGTGACATGAAACAGAATCCGGAGAGACAGGCAAAACGAAGGACCCGGATGGTGTGGTGGTGAAGTGCGCTACTCCCCGGTAAGGACAATAGCACGCGTTCGTTCCCCACCGCATACACCTGCGGTCTGGAGTTTTGCAAATATCTCAGCATTATATACGAGTTATATTTCGCAACATACCCTGCCATTAAAAAGAAAAAGGCAGTAAATAAAAGGGTTAAGATTGAAACAAAATCGTTTGTGAAACCTTCTGAACTTAATTTATTTATACCTTTAGAAGAAGAAAGAAGTACCGTTGTTCTCGCAGATGCAGATTAATTCATTCATGATGACGGGATGCTATAAGCGAAAGCGATCATGATTGATTGGAAGTGTCTGCAAGTCGCTCATACTTTGTAATCACAGGTGACGGAGTAAATTGCTGCCGTTAAAAAGATAAACTAAAATAAAACTAGATAAATGACAATGTCCACAGAGGGTCAGAGGTTCCGCTTCGGTTGCAGAGGAGGAGTAAAGGCGATGAGTCGATTAGCAGCGATGTGTTTCTTGCATCTGAGCGATAGTGGAAGAAGGTAAATATTGGTAGAGGTCAGACGACGATCTTCGCCGCCGCTATCGAGAATGAGCAAGCAAAGGCGGAACCGTGAGAGTCTGGCGTAAGTCAGCTGTAGAGAAGCCACTTATCATTCAACAACTATATTAATTTTTGTTTTGGTTTTCTAAGAGAGAAATAAGCTAGATCACAATACCTCAGCTTTTATTTACGGCATATTCTTTTTTCATGGTAGGGCACTATGTGAAATACAACCACATGGATGCCGAGATACGAGCAAAACTCGGGGCTCCAACTTCCGGCTTCTGACACGCGATTACCCCAACCAGGGTGGGAGTAAAACATGGCTGCGAGAAGGACCAAGCAAGGGTCCCGGCTGATGTGATGCCTAGCACTTGAGCACCCGGAAAGGGTAATCCCGAACTCGAAACCCAGCTGATCTTCCGAGTTCTGATCATATCTCAGCATTCATAACCTAAATAAATCTAGTGAAAGACTTTAAGCGGTGATGTAAATGAGAGCGATATTCAAATGGAATCACTATTAGAATTAAGCTTTTCCCATGAAAAAGGAGTTCCTGACAAAGAAAATACCCAGCGACTGGAATATTACAAGTACATTTATCATTGAGAAAGGGCTATTGGATCGCTGCCCGAAAGTAAAAATTCCATTAAGATGTTGAATATGCAAATACGACAGAAGATAAGATTTGAAACTGCAACGTCAAAGTGTTCTCAGAGGACTCTAATAAGCGATAGATGTTCCACCCGCCGTCTCAGTGGGACCCCATGATTATCTTATAATATATTTCTTCTCTACAAAATTCTTCTCCAGAGAAGTCGCCCTTTTTGAGTTCCTATCGATCATTTCACCTTAGCTCTTTGACAGATCAATGACTAAAGTGAGGGGTCCGTACAGTGCATAGCAAAGAGGTACACAACGAATGAACAAATTATCCATTCCACTCGTACCCCGCCTCCACTCTCGTACTGTGACGTTGGCAATCAGATTTCCATCTTACCGTATACGTAGTTATTTAAATTCATACTATCTAACTTCTCATCTTGGTCGTTAAATGACTGAATAGAACATTATATTTATAACATGAAAGATGATAGATGAGAGAAACGATATAATAAGAATTCGAAATTTTCGCTCAAAGGAGTTGGACCCAAGTTAAGATCTACAAGTTAAGAAGTACAGGAAGTATAAAAAGAAAGAAAAGAAACCAAAGATAGAAAGAGAATAGACGGGGTATGGTCGAAGAAAGTAACAGTAGAATTAGTCTTGACGAAGGAATCAAAATATTAAAAAGAGTTAGAAACAAACCGGAGAAAAGTGGAATGAAAGTGGGCTCCAATGAGGATTCTTTAAAAAGTGCTGCACACAAGATGCTTCCCCAGAACTAGAAAGGCTTGAAAATGTTGTTGTTGCTCCGAACTTTTCCAGTTTCTTACGCTGTCCAAGAAGTACTTATTATAACAAGGTAATTGCTGTGTTTACTCGTGATGTTTTTTTCATATAACATCATGATTATTAGCCAACTAGGAAAAAATGTGAGGTGTTTGATGGAGGCGTTCCGATTAGATGACGGAAGATGGTGGCAGAAGAGATTATGAAGGAGATTAATGCGATGGAAGACGGACTGAGAGCAAGACAAAGTGGTGTTCGTACCGATTAGCTCACCACAAAGAGTTCCACCCCCCCCCCCCCCCCCCCCCCCCCANCCCCCCCCCCCCCCCCCCCCCCCCTCCCTAGGAAATGACCACATTTGAGACCAACTACCGACAAGCATCAACAAAATCACGACGGAAATCAAGGTTCATAGTAAACTTTTCACATTAATGAAATATAATCTACAAGAAGTCACACGGTAATTACATTTATGTGAAGCCAATAGAGTTCAAGTTGTTATCAAAACAGGCTCTTTGAAATTATCAGGTACGTAAGCCACAAGATGCTTTGGGTCCATCTGATTCAGTTAAGAGGCGCTACCTTTAGTTCTTCGTAAAGAGTGTTTCTCACATCGGTTGGCTTATGAAGAGCTACGCACTGATGATCGCTACAGCATAAAGATATTGAGGAATGGTGAATGGAAAATTTACAACTTCAAAGGATAACCTTCTTTAAAAGAGATTTCTACTAGGCAAAGTGGATGCTTCATAATGTCAATGGGGAGTAATGAGTCAGCAGTGTAGAATCTTATTGCTGTGATGCCTTATTCTCGTCGTAGGAATTAGGAGGATGCTCTTAAAGCGAACAAAATGATTTTATACCTATACTTTCAACCTCTACTCCTGTTTTCATAACTCTTATCACTTTATCAGTTCATCAACTTCGTCTGCTAACTTGTCTGTTAAGTAACTGTGATTCCAGTTAAAGAATATGGAATATGATTGAATGTGCAGAGTTAATTTTGGTTATTGAATTTTTAAAAAGATATTAAGCGAAAATAAAGGTTTTCAGAAACAAGGAACCATTGAGAAACGATGTTCAGTGAGTGAATGATTTTGTACGATACTTAATAAGTAATAAAGTAATATTCCTAGTGATTAAGTCACAAGTTATAAACAGGATTACATATGAAACGCTTAATGATGAGTGCTAAACATCTATGGAAGATTCTAGGAGACGGGCATGGTAGCGCGGATTTTGTTTCCACTGCAACCAGCATCTGGCAGCGTTACATCCCGCCCACTTGCAGGAAGAGAGGCGGGTGGGGGTGGAAGTCGTCGTAGAGAGCAGGCCTCTGCACTGCTCTGGCTGTCCATTCGAGACCTTCCGGAAGACTCCAGAGCTTCCGTAGAACTGATACCCTCCATGACAGAATATGGTGGTCGTATGGACTGCATCAGATGGCTGTACTGACAATTGCCATGGTCCTTCCTTCGAATGAAACTATAAAATCGTAAAATTCTCTGATGCAGTAGCTTTCTGATTTCACTCAAAATCTAGGAGCAGCAAAGAGTCAATAAAGAACTAACGACTCTGGTCACATATCAAACAACGCAGAAATGTAAGAAGGGATCGCTTTTTAGTGGGGGAGGAGCACTTCGAAAATTATCGCGTATCGAATATCACCGGAAAAAAGAAATTGACAGGTGCTAGCCAGGTGAATTCCAGCCATCTTAAATGCTTCCATTTTTGCCATCATCCGCCGTTATTATTCCTTTTATTTTTTATGTATTGTATTATTTATTAACATTCCCATCACTTATACTGATGGCTCTATTATGCTCTGGCTCACCATCGTCATACCCTAATACGAACAATATGATATTATTATTACTGCTATTATTACTGTCATTATTATTATTATCATTATTATTATTGTTAGAAAATGTAAAAGTAATATGTTGTACCTAAAAAATTCATTACCACTGTTCTTGTTCTTGTTCATAATATTGAGTCATAGGGCTACCTGTGTATTTAGTCAGATACGAGAGTACAATATTGTTTAATGAGTGAAGACGTGAGGGAGACGGCTACCTCGTCGGCTTGTCATTATGGACGGACGGTCGGCGTAATGATGCGCCAACCTTGGCCGTCTTATCGCGACGGTTGACCCAAGCCATCGACGGATGAAAGCAGTCGACCGCCGACCGCAATCGGAGGGATCCGATGAGCATCCGGACATCGTCGACCACTTCGACCGTTTGGGAGGGGTTCAAATGAGCATCTGGAAATCGTCGACCACTTCCACCGCGTCGACGTCTTCTGTTCGGACAACAGACAGACATCAGCCATCCAGTCGTCTTCTCGGTGAAAACAACTCATTTTGAGCAGAACTGCAGAAAAACACAACGCAAACTTCGTTTTTCCAATAGTTGACAACGTTTAGAAACGTATCGAAGTCGATACTCGGAAGGGTTTTGTAAATAAACCGGATAAATTGGTCCAGAAGTTCTCTTTTGTCTGCCGTTGAACATATCTGACTTTAAAGGGAGAAATATGGAAAGCCATCAAAATTTTTGTATCCAGACGCAGAGTATTTTTTTTGAAACTTAAGGTGCTTTTATCATCGTAAATCTCCAAGTTTCAGTTTGATTGGCGAACTTCGGTATTCATATACAACAAATATAACCACGTGTACAAGTTTGCTTGTTGCTTGATGCCTTGGAGAAAGCAAGTGATGAAACAGAATTAAATCTTCTATTCGTTGGACTAAGGTCTGTAAAGGGCGTGTGTGGCGCAGTGGTCGGAGCAGCCCTGCAACACACACATGGAATCGATCCCCGCGGCCATGCCCACGAAGCCTTCCATCCCTCCGTGGTAGCCAAATTGGTACCAAACTTGTCTGGGCACTGGCAGCACTGGCTCAATACATTGGTAGGCCACCGCGAGTTATTGTAAAAGCCAGATATGCATTCAATCACCTCCAAACGATGCTTAATGAAGTCGAATGCATGGCACGTACCTCAGGGATTGATTAACGCCGAGAGCTTTATCCTTTTTTAAAGGTTTGTTCGGTGTAGCTTTTTTTCGGAATTGTGATCTTTATTTTTTAACAAGGAATTCTCGTGTTCTTTGTTAGCATCGATGCGAAATAAAGTTGTAAGGCGGAACTACTCAGCAAAGGATTGAATGTCAGTTGTTGTCTACTTCTGTCACTAAACTTTCAAATAATGTAAATCATTGTTTAAGACGGAAAGCTCTTGGAAATTTCAAGAAAAGGTGCTTCTATTCGTCAAATCCGTCACAAGTTTACAAATAGACTCCTTAAATTGAGGAAGTCAATTTAACGATAATTGTTTTGTTAATCTTATCCAAAATCTCAACAAAACCACGAGGATGACTTTTGACCCCACAGTCATCCCTAAATTTCTATAAGGATGATCTTCCAGACCGGAGGATGACATTCCGCTGAGAATCGTGTTCTAGGCTTACACAACTGATTGGTAGATAAGGTCGCGATGCAATGTCATAAATGTTCTCCTTCTCTTTCTCTACGGGGATTTCAATTCTCTATTTCCCACAATTTTTTCACAGAATATCTTTTTTTAAAATCCTGTTGTTATTTTCTTAAACCTGGTTAATGTTTGCGAAGAATCCATCGCATTAATGTTTGAGCGCTGTGGTGGCCTTCGGTACATTGGTAACAAATCATTGTCGAGCCATAACTCAGTGGGCCGTGGTGGCGCTGAAATATATATGGACTAGAAGAGGAGTGTGTGATGCGTGGACATGATACTGTTGACGGACCAGACAGTGAGTAGGAATCACGCGAATCCTAGAGACAAGATGGCGGACGAACCACCACCATGTGTGCATGCACTCAGTACATAAATCAGAACGGGCAACGAGGCAGCGGATCCGAAACTCACATCGCCAATCAGATTCGAAACTGGGCCTCACACTCACCATGCCACTACTCGGAGTTCATTTTTAATGGCGGAAGACATGTGGTGTCCTTAACTGAGTAGTAGAGTCGATTATCATAAATACGACTAATGTTGTTGGAATGATTATGATTCTGCTGTGATTCACAGGCCTCTTCCAACCATTTTATAGTTCGCGACAGGAAGTTTTAAGAATGTTCGAGAATTCTAGCCCAACGACTACTAGAAATGACTACGGTCCAGCTATGTAAGTAATAGCCTTGTTGGTGTTTTTTATCATAATAACGAAAATCGTAAACATATCCTTTTTTTAGTAATGTACCAACAAATCTTCACTGAGTATCTATTCATTTATAGTATTTGTCCTCTTCCTAAACATCGACAGAATTGTTCGAGCAGCACCTTTCTATCAGCTTCAGCAGCATTCTTTCCCGTAGCGATCTACGGTTGTCCAATGAGTTGCTGCTGCTCGGGACTTTCACCATATAACAATTCATGTATTGGGACCAGATGTTTTCGATGTTAGTGTATAACGCGGCACTCATGGAAGTCGGAATAGACCTATGCATTCCTCGTCTTCTTCATTAGATCGCCGATTGTCTTTCACGCTTCACAAACCGCTCATTTCTCGCTGCCTGGTTCTTCAGATAAGTCGTTTATCGCGGTGATTTTCCGACCCAGATGTGCAGAGCTGAAGGATTAGAAGATATGCATTCCATGAGTGTGAAACGAATTCGGCCCTCAGGAATGGTTTTCTAAGAGTTCCAACTGAAGACCAAAAGCCTTACACAAAGAACGATGTCGCTTAAAAAGCAAAGATGATGTCACCGGCGAAAACTGGCCTTCTTTTCCATGCTATTTGGTATCAGACTCTACACGTTTCCAACGGTGACGTTAAGCAATTTCCGCTACTTTTCTTAGTGTCTAACCCTTTTCTTTTCGTCAAAAACGGTGGATGAAATACCACTTCTTCCTCTTGCGTTGCTTTTTGAGCTATCGAGGATCTTTGTGTGCTACCTGGTATTGTTCTAGTGTTCTAGAGGTTCCATCACCTCTTCTTTTTCAGTCGAAGGCCTTGTTTAAATTGACGAAAATGAGGCAGTTGTGCACACTGGCGATAGCTCAGTGAGTTTTACAAACATGTGGATATGATCCATCGTATTGAGCCCTTTTCGAAGCTTCCTTTGTTCGTATGAGTGCCTGTCCTCCAAAGCACCATCTGTTTGTAATGTAGGATCCGTGCAAGAAATTTATAGAGGACTGACCATGAACAGATTATTTAATTGTTCCCAACATTGGTCTCTTTCGAGCAACATGGATTCCCCCATGTTGAGAATTGCGGATATCTCTATCGCGACAGGTAGTATGTGAAATATCAAACGTGTCTGTTGATAAGTGCATCCTGTTAATCTCCAGTCTTCGTTCGGTTAGTCTTCGCACTAGTAAGCCATGCTGATGAAGGCTAAGGATTATATACCTTATGATTTTCATGTAAGTATCGCACTGGGCCGTTTTACAAGCTAAGATGTGTGATAACAGCGGCTTTCCATGAAGCTGTGCTCCGGGTTACCATGCCGAGAGGTTTCGAGTACAACCGCTTCTTCTTGAAGTGTTTATCAATGTCTGATTTCTTAGTGCTGCTATGAAAATGCTTCATGAGCAGATCTAATTAGCAACTGGTGCTTTCGATAGTGCTGTCTTGCTCTAAAATTTGCCATAGATATTGATGAATTTCCTTCTATCGCGTTTGTTCTAGGATTCGACTTCGTAACTTTTTCCTCAGTTTTTGTCAGACGAATTTTACTCAAAGAGGCAATGGTTTGATATCATGCAGAATTTCTAGAAAACAGTAAAGTTGATTTTCTAAAACTTCGATTTACGACATTCTTATCAATTTCGACTGGTGCTCCTCACCCGATTACCTCTACATTTAGCGTCTGTAGGAATTTCTACGGAATTATGATTTACCATAGATGGTGTTCGTATCTGACTCACAATAAATTCAGACTGGGTAACTCTCTCACCCTGTTCATTCTAGCTCAAGAGATGTACTTGTGCTACTATAACAAATTTTGACACTTGGTGTAGAGATAGCCACTAATGTCGTTCCATATGACGCCCTGAGGTCTTAATAGCCTTTTCTTGTTCGTCCTAAGCTATGCTGCTATTCGGATGCCTGCTTAAGCGAAAGGATACGGTAGCTCATGAGAACCACTTTTGGAGATAAGCACACTCTTTTGCAGGTTGTACTGTTCTGCGGTCGTTGTTTAGACTCATACGTAGCTCAGCATTTCCTCATTCGCCACTCATGTAAATATTTTCCTGCTACTACTTTGCGTATCTTGGCCTAAATAAAGGAACGAGATACAATCTTGACACACACAAGAACATCTACACACTCGTGTAGATGTGTGCGTGTGCACACCGTCGATTTAAGTCGGAGATAGTAAGAAAGACTGTAGCAAACCATCCTGGACTCGAGGAAATGAGACCACAGCTTTTTGGGCGGCGTTTGCCACTTTATCACCACTTGGTATAAGCACGTAATCTTAATCTAATCCAGGATCCTTCACATAAACAAAATTTTTGATAAATATGTCCTACCTAAAAGCCTTCAAATACAACTTTGGACATGGAGCATGAGAAATACCGCAACTTCTGCCAGCACAGTTGATTTTTGGAGCCCTAACACATCCATAACCGCACCTCCTGTCTAAGGGAGAAACTTCGGATATTTCATTGAGATATCGAGTTCGTTTTGATTCCACGGCTCATGAATTCTTTACGTAAGGACTCAGTATTGACTGTAATACAAGGATGATGTGACGTCAATTCACCAAACTACGTTAAAGATTATCGCATCGTAAACTGCGACTATTGGTATCCCTCAAGAGACCGATAGTTCACGCTCCGCAGCATTGGGTGACATCCCCGAGCACTCAGAATTCAATTTCGTAACATCCCCCGGGATGCCGTAGAAACACACACGCACATGCACTCACATGAGTCTCATGATGCATAACATTTCGTCCAGAACTTGAAAAAGAAATGGGTGTACATCCATCGTTGGGACATAATCAAACATGGTGCAGAAGTTGTGAACATTAATAACTTGCCCACCCTTTGACAATTCCACACAAATCATCCAAAGCGGAAACAACTACACCTGAAGCACGCGGAAAACCTTACCGTGGAAGTAACTGTGTTCAATGTTCTTGACTAATTAAAAGGAGTTTTTAAACGAATATGTGGGAGTAAGGTTGCTCCCGATTAACTGTCTGACGCAAAGCTATGCTTTGAAAAGCATTCTTAACACTAACTCTAGGAAAATCATTTTATTGAAACTGTAAAACTTTGTTGAAGCCATAAAGACCACGTGAAAGACTTAAAACATGGAAAATCAGATCGTACACAGCATCCTTGACCCGTATAAGCACCCATAACCAAGTTGAGATCACCTGAAAAGAAGAACTTATGATCACTAAGCAATTCAACAAATGCTTGAAATGGAAAACATTTACAAAAACACTGAAAGATCCAATCTTGAAAAGGATAATAGCTAAAAGCTTACCAGACATATTAAACAATGTGATTACATAGTAAGCCTAAATGGTGAACAATATACACTAGGTCTATATAGTTTATCGAAGCATTAACAATGTTGAACATGGAATATGGAGAGGTAAGAGTTGATCCGAGGACAAACTTCGATGAATGGGACCACGACCGTAGAGATACATGACCTTTCCTCTTCGTTAGTCGAACAACGCATTGGAAATACAACACAACCTGTACAAAACATATAATTACGAAATTAACAAAATTTAAAGCAACAAGTAAACTGTGCTAAAAAACGAAAACATACAAAATTAAGCGCGAATACATCTTCACAAGCATAACATGAGCAGATAATTCCTTATGAGCGAGAGTATTACGTGGAAAGTACTGCTTATTGTTTTAACTCGACTACAACCGAAATATACTAATACGAAAGACCGATCTAAATTTCACAGCGCTAAGCCAGTAAGAAACTAGAAACCCGAACATAGCGAGAACTGATACTGAAGAATAACACAGCTTTCGAAGCGTACATTTTTTAGAACTGAACATTACACCATCTCTCTAGTGGGATGTTTGAAGTCTCAGTGGTTTCAAGTTAAAACGAACACATTGTAAACATATCTTTGCCATAGTAATCACCAGGAGTCACTTGGATGTTCCTGTCACTAAAGCCTAAAAATTTCACATTTGATAGATTCACTACACCCTATACCGAGTATATCTTATTCTCCCCAATATTCTCAGATTAGAATTCAGCAATGACAAAGAACTGGATGAACGGAACATGCCAACAGGTCTTGAGACGAAACTGCCAAAAAACAATACGAGAGAAAAAAATCATTCGCACAGTTATCAGTTCACTATTTATGAGTATAAGGGGTATAAGGGGTACACGTTTACGAAGTTACTGATAATTTTAACATAGACAAGCGCTCAAGACAAAGACTCTAACATGCTATCCGACATTATTGTATCCATTGCTTGTTTGGGAAAGAAACGCAGACAGCGATGAGCAACAATGTAGCGGAATAGAGTATCAACGAGACCAGTTTTTTCTCAATGAAAAAAGAACCAAAAGTTCGGAACTATACGTACATGATGGTGGGTGAAAAAGAAACTGTCGTTTGTAATTGTCGTTTCAGCATTAACATGGAAATTGAAATACTAAGATAACATCGAAAATAAATGTATGATTTTAATAGTCCTAGTGGTAAATATAAACGAGTATTTTAATGCTCCAAACAAGAATACACATACATAAAATTTGTTCCCTATTAACAAAGAGGGCTGGAGTTCAAGTGATGACAAGAGAGCAAAAAGAAAGATATACGGTATAACCGAACGAGTATTCGCTTTGAGATTTAAAAAAAAAGTTTAAAGACGCAAATATGGAATAAAGCGGACAACGAAACACAAACGATACGAAAGCAATAGTTCAAAAGATAACAAACCTCTTCTAAAAAGCGTAACAGCACAATCCATATTCAATGGTAACGACCACGAGAGTGCCGTGGTGATCGCGATCGTGAGCTCGACCTATAGATGATGTGTTTCAGACCGTTCAATCCGATGCTACCTACATCCCAACAAAAATATTTGTTTGGAAAAATTAATACACCCTTAAAACTGATCTGTCATGACAAATTGCAGTCAAAAACTGAAATCTAACATATTTCGTTTCACGGTGTCGAGCTGCGACGTACACCGGGGAAATTCATCCCCCCGTAGGTCTCTTAAGCCGGGAAGGAGTTTAGTGTTTCCATTAAGATACCCAGCTAAGAATGAACCAATACCAGGATCCACCACCGCCCTAGTAGCAAACTAGTCGCATGGTGGCAAATCTTCCACTGATCCACAAGGGCAGCAACAGTCTGTGGCGGTGACGACTTGGGGCAGATTTTGGCCCCACTGACCCCGGGACACCGGAGAAACAGAATGGCTACACGAGCAAAACTCCGCGAAATGGAGAATTTGCTGGAGCCGGTACAAGCAGTGAGGACAGGACGTCCAAGTACCCAAGTACATTCTAAGCAATCTTCCAATGCTATGAATTATCGACAGCTTTTAACATCTAATGTAGCAAATCTTTAGTTTCTAATGATATAAATTTGCATGCCTTATTGGGTCGCCTAAAGTTGCAGCTTTTATCAAAGCGTGTCCAAAGCAAATCTTATGTTATGACATAAACTAGAAACTTTGGAAATTGTGTCCGATGCTCGTTTGTTACGGGATGTTATACACACGAGTGTTCATATTATAATCACTGGATAACTTTCAAAGTATATAAGAACAGCAGCGGAGCAAAAATAACCATACCGGCTTCTAGACCGACTTCTTCGTCTGCGTTTACGGTCGCGATCTCGAGAGCGACTACGTGATCTGTCACGATGCTTGCTTCGTCCACTACCTCCTCCGCTGGAGTACGCTTTTGATTCAATCCCATTTAGCGTATCCTGTAACTCCAATTGTTCAGTGGTTATCGGAACAGCAATTACTTAATAGGCAACTTTTCCTGTGGAATTTTCGAACACTAAAAAGTTAGACAGACATAGGAAAATATGAAACCCATGATTGGTAAACAACGCGTGAACTGGTTATTTCTTCATATAAACCTCATTAAAATGAACACGCCTATTAAGAACTAGCGTGACTACTCTACGTATTAACCTGGTGTAAAGGAAAAGTAGATGCGGCTTCAAACCGTGAACTTTACATCATTATAACTACACTCGACAATGCATTAACAATAAAAAACCACTTGAATCCATATAACCTTGTCGATAAGAAACAAGCTTATTTATTCCAGTTCTTAAAAACTTCAACGTGGTGGGAGCAAGTGATCCCTACTTTACTGAAGGCCATTCCAGCTGCCAGTTGCATTTTGAAGCTAGCACTTTTGTAAAAATAAAGTTGTTTAACAGAATTTAGACCAATAGCATGGTGAATGGAGCATAGGTTAGTGGCGCAATTCGCTTAAATTCCGTAGTCTCGGCTATGAAATTTCAAGCGTTGCCGCACAAGAGAAGTAGACCATTCCTGCTACTCATTCCCTGCTCTTTTGCAGGATTTCATTGAAGTCGTAACAATACCTGTTCATTCTGATCGTCCCACCAAGATTAAAAAGCTTGTATTACACGATCCTCTCTGGTTAAAGCAATCGTTTGGCGAAAGTTAGGCTTCGGGAAATACTCAACAGCTTAACTTCGGTTCAGTTACTTAACAGGATATCTCTGAACACCGTAAAGGAGGATCCGTTTTATATCGCATGTCACAATACCATCGACGAATGAGCCGTTTTTGGTTATGTGAAAGTAGTGAAGAGCAGATTTACTAGGGAAAATTTCGCTGACCCTCTTTCGCCTCTTAAGACAAAAAGTGTTATCTTGAAAAAAAGTGTTATTTCTGCACCTGGAAAGGAAGTGTCACTGTAACCAGTAAAGCAACAACATACTGTCCTTTAACTAATTCTACCTGCCTTATAAATTGGTGAACGACAGTCGCTTATCGTCAGAACACGACATTTTTTAGATATTAATCTGGACTAGCATGTCTGCAGAAAAAAGGTTGCAAAATGAAAAAAAGGAAACAAATTTTCCGGGCTTAGAAGTCTCATCGTACTAGAATAAGAGCACTTTAAAAAGGGAAGCTAATATATCGTTGGCAAAGGCCTGTGGATTCTGTTTGTATAAGGTTGAAACGTACAACCATTTTGGGTGACCGTGAGTTGAATTCAGTCTTCGAACACAAATTGTGCCACTCTCATTATAAGATTTCCTGAATTATTTTGGTAGTTGTTGGGGGAGATGATATCCTAAATACTAGCTCATGGTTATCGGTGCTGCACTGCAAAGCCTTCTGGAGAGGTCAACTTTATAGAAAGGGTAGAACCAGAAATTTAGCAACGAATTTCCCACCATTTAATCGTTCTTGAGCATTCCTTAATAAGCATCAAATTGAACTAGCATTTTATATACAACTAACTAACTAATATAATTGTTCAACCACAAAGAATCTTACAACCTTCGTTTGATCATGCCCACCGTAATATTATACTCTACTTTAGTCATTCCAATTTTTTCATTCACATCTCCATAGTCAAACCACTAGGCAGAGTCACTAATCCTCCAAACTATTTGTCGTACTGTTTCGACCAGCGCCCTTATATACTATACTAACCATTTATCTATAACGAGGAAAGTACAGCTACAGATGTATAAAAAAGGCTGGTTTGGAGAATTCAGCAGTAGTGAATGAAATATCGCTAGACAATACACCAGCCAGTTCGTAATCGCTTGTATGACCGTCTGTGTATAACACGAAAGTAGATAATTTGTCGTAACGGTAGAGAGGATGAATGCATGAGTTCAGTGAGAGCACTTAATTTCTTGTAAAGCGTCATTTTTACCACCTGTCGTCCTTTGGTCGTCGACTGGGCGCCGGTATATCTTCCACTTTTCCCTGTAGCGGGCAAGAGTAGTCCCTTAGGTTCTGCTCGCTCTAGGGACTCGTAGAGCATCATATCTTTCTCCTTGACTTCTCGTGAAGAGCTCTGAGCATCGGAACGGTGGTCTTCCTGCAGTACCTTTGACATCTCGGGGAATCCGGTCACTAACGGCTCTTGTCCATCGGTTGCCATTCATACGCATTACGTGTCCTGCCCACCTTATCTTCAACTGTTTGGCGCGTAGAACAATTGTAAACCGTTCTGCGTTTGTATAAAACAATACTCAGTTGAGAAACTTAAAGTTGAACAAAACATTCCATTGGCACGCATAGGATAAAAAGGCATAACGGAGATTTTAAATAAAAACTCAGTACCCTCGCATAAGAATCTAAAACAGCGCGTAACTCTTGTGGTGCTCCGGATAAATTTCAAAAATTCAAAAAATTAAGAGCAGGGAGAAGTGCCTTGGGTATGAAACCATCGAAGCGTCGGTCAATACTAAGTGGACTTTCTTAGTACCCTCGTCTCCTACCCCAGAAGAAAACAATGACTTACTGAACTACTAGCTCTATTCTAATAGTTTCACGTAGAAAATGTTTTAAAAAATCCATTGTGTCTGACTGATTTTCGCGTTCTCACTTTATATATGAATGAACGGATTGAACAGAAGTTAATGGCAAAGCGGTACTGCGCAGAGCCGACTCGTACTCGTCGTTACAAATAAACAAACTAAAATATACTGCGGGAAAGTGAAATAAAGTTCCCAACATACAGTCAATAAAGTAACATAATCGACATAAATAAGAGATCTCGCTCCCCTGACCTGATCACTGTTCTGGAATACAACAATGGTTGACAACACGGGTAACTTTCATTATTGGCGACTTCTTACTTTTACTCTTTGTTCAAATCTTTTTTATATTGAAGCCTGCTAACCTGAAGGCTAGCAACTAGAAGGCGACAACGATCATCATGAGCTACACGACTCTGTTTTATAAGAGAAATCGCCGTCAAGATTGTCTCAGTTGCAGATTTCACATCACCTCCAGCAGCGTCCGCTACAGCTCGAGAAATCGCGGATGATGCAACCGTTCTGAATTCACAGTTCAACAGACTTTCATAAAATCGAATTTGTACAAATAGAATTGTAACGACCTATTTCTGTTCATTATCTCTTCAAATTCAACCTCATTCATAGCTCCAGGGATAGGAGGCTGCTGCTGAACGCCGGGAAACATCTGAATATTCAACAAAACCTTGCAATTATTCAGGAATACCTCTAAAGAAGTCATTTCTGTCGAGCTAAATAAGTATCAGATTTGTATCTGGAAGTGTCTGAACGCAACAGTTCATAGGGAAATCCAAAGTGTCTGTGCAATTATGAACGAAGAAAATATTTTTTGCAGTTACAAAAAGAGACTTTGGTAAGAAAGATAACCGCTTATAGTTGAGAAATGAGAGAGCTAAAAAAGCACTGATTGGTCAATGTTGCTTTGTTAAACTGCAAGAGAGCTGTTAAACACCTGTGGATTAATATGTGCACCATGAGGTGCGACAAGCTGCTGAGGAGCTTGCGTGGGAGCAGCTACTGTACGCATGCCAGCAGCACCTTGCTGGATCATTTGCTGTTGTCCAATACCAACCATAGTCTGTTGAGTGCCACCAAATTGAACACCAGGAGGCGGTCGACTAGATGAGTGTGTATAATGCGGACAGTAGTACTGGTTGCGACAAATACTAGAAATAAAACAACTAAAACCTACTTTGGATGCACCTGCATTCCTGGCTGAATTAACGGTGGAGCACTTCCCATTTGCATTGGCATGTTGCCTCCCACCATAGGGCGAGGAGGCCCAGTCGTCATCTGACCTGGTACTCCCAGTTGAACGGGACCACCTATTTGAACCGTTCCGACTGAACCACCAACTCCAGGAGGACCCATCTGACGGCTCATCATTGGCCCCTAAAGAGCTAATTCTCGCATTGTTTCTTGGAATATTTGATAATAAAGCAAGCTCTACATGAAATACCTGGTTGACAGGTTGTCCCATCATGACTGGACCTCGATTCACTAAACCACCCGGACCAACTGGACCAGATGCAGAAGCGACCATTTGGCCACTGGCTGCGATATTCATTGGAGGGCCACCAGGACCAGGCCTCATTTGCATCATCGGCATAGGACCACCACCCATTGGTCCACCAGGCCCCATTCGTGGTCCTAACATTGGTGGAGGCCCAGAGGGTCCTGTTGGTGCTGCACCTATACGTATTGTACCCATGTTCATACAAGCCTCATCCTGAAAAAAAAGACTACCTATCACGACATGCGTGCAAAAGAATTAGGGAAGGCAACAAGACTTTGGATCAGAAATAGACCTTTTTAGCCTGTTTAGGATCTGGTCGACTCTGCATTTTCGAAGTAGCCTCATCTAAGCGGTTAAGAGATGCTTTAGTATATGGAAGAATAACGGGTGACTGCCCATGAATTTGACGCTGTGGCATTTGATCAGTGACAGTTCGCACGGCTTCAAGAAAAAACATTTTTGATTTGATAAAGATGAATAGAATTCGGGAGTGCACACCAAAATATTCATATACTCCAATACAAAGCGAATCACGATCGATTAAAGATGTAATAAATAACATATAGGGAACAACAAACATGTGTCGCTTGCAAAGACGAGTAGAGCGAATCCCTTGCTTTGTCCATTGGTCCGATTTTCAAAGAACTTCATGTCAATCAAATCCGTGATTCCGATAGCCTTTATGTGCAACTGAAAATCAAGGCTATTAATCATCTGTTTTCGGTTAAAAGAACCAGCCTATAACTACGCAAAACACTCACGGCCACATCTGCGTCGGTAGCCCACCAAACCAAATTCCCTATGTAGCAACAATACCTAAACTGATTTGGTTGAAAATGTTACGAATACCTTGAAAAATGTGGGTACAATTACCGTTTCCCGTCAGAAGCATGCCCTGTCGATCCATTCGGCTGGGTGTTCCGAACTGGTGCAGGAGCAATGGACTTTTCTCCAGAAGATGGCGCTATCGCATCGTCGTACAGATCGACTTCTTCACTCTTCAACTCCTCAACCTTCAAATGACTAACGCCGTTCTGGTCATCTCCGTGAGAAGGTGATCTAAACAGCAACCATATTATAATTAGTGAAGTTATTAAATAAATAAACCATGAAGGGCATACTGATCGAGGAGAGCGTGCTCATCAAGATGGTCACCATCTGTTGCTGCTGGTCCTTCTCCGAGAAGGTCAAGTTCTGCTTGAGAATCTATTTCTGTCATAGGATAGCCTACAACACGTACTTATAATAGCATACAATAGTTACGAAACCACCCATTAAAAGTAGCAGAAGCCAGACAGCTCATCAGGAAGCATTCTTCAATAAAAACACCTATTGAATCGTAAGTCTCGTAACAGAAAAATCTTAGGCTACATATACATGGCGTTGTGTCCACTAACTCAGAATAGAAAATGGCTTGCTGGTAATCACCGACAATCATTTTAAGTAGAGCTTTGGCAGGAAAACCAGATAGCTCGAATAGCGTCTTCGACGACGAGGACAACAAATGAGGTCAGTACGGATAAATATAACCCTACTTCAATAGATTGAGGACCAAGACCTCCCATGACGCCAGACGATGAGGTGCAAGTCGTCTCTGCGTCCCTCGTCCTGAAGCGAGAGGCAGAAGCGTCGGAAACGATGCAGTGTCCGTTGGATACGACGATGTGCCAGACGCCTATGTGAAGAGGACGCGACTTCGACCGGCGCGAAGTCTGGTATTCGAGCACGTTTTCTAACCACTGCCGAGCCTATAGAAAGATTTCATTTACCTTAGCTAGTACGGATAGTTTTTTGACTAAAATACTTGTATTCTGTTATATAATGTATTATGTATGTTTGCTGATATTATGGTAAAAGATAGACGTTTTCATCAGTCGACTTTTAGGTCATATAGCAGGGAAGATAACTGCTAATGGAATCAATGCGTATACTTACTTGGATACGTGGATGGCCCGTCCTCACTGATTGTGCGGGTGCCAGAATAATCTCCATTTTTTCGGAGTTTTGCTGGCCTAGCCATTGTAGTTCCCTGGAGTCCGGAGATCAGCCTAGCGAAAATCTGCTCCAGACCGTCACTGATACAGGAAGTCGCCGTCCTTGTGGATCGGAGGGAGATTTCCCACCATACGACTAGTTTGATACCAGGACGGTGGCGGATCCTGGTACTGGTTTACTATTAGCTGGGCATTCTGGTATAAACGCCGGACTCCTCAGCTTGGGAGGCCCTGCTAGGGTGATGAATCTCCCCACTGTACATTGTAGTCCGACATTCAGGAACACCTTGCAGACTCGATGAGGTCGTAAACCGTTGTAAGGATCAATGGGTATAAAAGAACAAAATATGCTAATTAGAGAAATTAGAAAATTAGATTGGAGTTGGAGATCAACATGGTTTTGGCTGGTTATTTAATTTTAGTTAGTCTCAACGGTTTACCGTCTCATAGTTGCTGTGAGGTAGTCCTTGGTGTCGGGCTGCGATGTACAGAGTGAGATTCGTCCCCCAGGCAGGGTCACCCAGATTGAGAAGGAGTCCGGCGTTTCCATTAGGAAGTCCAGCTAATAGTAAACCAGTAACAGGGTCCACCACCGTCCTGGTATGAAACTAGTCGCATGGTGGCTAATACCCCTCTGATCCACAAAGGGTGGCGATTGCCTCTGATGGTGAAGACCTGGGGCATCCTTTGGCCAGACTGACCTCAGGAGTCCGGTGAACCACAATGGGTAGACCAACTGAACTACGAAAAACGGAAATTAGGCTGGGACCTGCACAACCAGCGAAGATGGACCATTCAAGTATTTAATGTGGGTTGGTAGAGAGCTCTTGATTCTGATACAAAGGTAAGGATATCGGATCGGTCCTGGAGGGTTGCACCTTACATCCGACTTCCTTAAGCATCGTTGGAGGTTACTGAATGCACTTATGGCCTTTACAATGACTCGTAGTCGCCTACCGATGTATCGAATCAGTGCTGCTATCCTCCCATACAGGTGTGATATTGATCTGTGAAACTCATAGTAGAGGGCTCTGAGCTCCCACTGCTCGAGATTGAACCAAGCATCACGTGTATGCTGCACAGCAGGTTTGATCATTGTTCTACGCGCATCGATTCGTTGTAGGGAGGACGTAAATGTCACCGGACGAGCCAACTGTATTTTTGAATGTTACCTTAGTCTTTTCGGTATACATTGTTTTGCTCTGTTACTCTCTTCCATTTATAACTGAATTCCGACTATCTGACTCTATTAGCTATATCAACATTGTGATACCGTGAGTGCTAACACCATAGCTGAAGTTCTTTGCTGTAAACCAAGAAGTTATCGTGTCTTGAGTTACAGTTTTGAGGGAGTGTGAATTGTTGTGTGAATACTTGTGAGGAACTGGACAGCTCTGATACCCAATAGGTCAGCAGGAGGAGTGGGTGGTGCAGTGGTGGTGATGCCGTTCACCATGGGCACGGTTTCGGTGCGATCTCGCTCAGTGCTTACTCATCCTTTCATCCTTCCAAGATCGAGATATTAGTGCTAAGCTAGTCTGATAAAAGTTCTCTATGCAGTATCTCTATGCACTCCATGCAATCCAAGTCGGAACGCTCTAGTCAGGCTATCTCAGAACGCCAGGGAGAATCGACTCGGCCAGCATTCACCGGCACTCGTATGAAAAGAAATCCTCAAGCAGCAGGAGAAACCACGCGTAAAATTTAGAAGAATTTCGTGGATGATGGGAGGGAGCGAATCGAATGCGAGAAATGCTGGGATCCACACAATAGATGTGAAAGATTAGCTGTGTAGAAAAAATGACATGTACTTCAACATTAATCATGCTCAGATAGTTGCGCAACGCTGGGCCGCAGGTGCCTGCGGTGGGGAACAAACACGCTATTACTCTTTCCAGGGGCTAACGCGTTCACCACCACACCATGTAGGTCCATCGTTTCGCCTGTCTCTGCCAGTTCTGTCGATCAGTGCTATCAGTAATCACGCGTCAACGAGATTAATCTAGGGAACCCAAATTGCGTGAACGTGTTATCCTCCGGAAAAGGTAATAGCGCGTTCGTTCCCCACCGCTGACACCTGCGGTCCGGAGTTTTGCCAATATCCCAGCATCATTGTGGTTGTATCACACATAACATCCCGCCGTGAAAAATTGTAATAGGCAGTACATAAAAAGTTGACGTTGTACTTCAACATTTTTGTGTTGATACCAACTTGTATTTTATACGATGCTTTAAGTGTTTATAACTTTTCTGTGGATATGATTTGGACGAGATCTGTTTCCCTAGTGCTTTGCTTTCAAAGACTCGATTTAAGCCATATTGTTTAAAAACATGGAATAGCATATCGAATCTCGTAAATAAGGATCATTTCAATTGTTTGTGCCGGTGGCCTGATTGTAATCGTCAACGAATTTTTTATACTTCGCCTGATTTTCCTCAGTCAGAATCGCCTCGTATCTGAAAAATAAGTTCCTCTCTGTGTCACTCTGCCCCTGAGTTTGAAACACCAGTGATTTGTAACGAACCTTTGTTTATGTCTTTCCAGGAAATAGCACAGCATAACACGGTGGATGAACAAATACTGCTGCAAAAGTGAAGAAAAATCTTCTTGGAAAATACAGTAACGTAGAAGTACTCACAAGGTCGTTCTGGATAGTGTAAGCTCGTTGATTTCGTAGTTCCCGTAACAGATCGTTCATAGCAGCACATTCGACTCCTGCTTGCATTCTCTCTGAATTGACAGACAAAATCCTCTTTTTACCAGTCGTAGTAGTTTCGCGCCATTTTCTCCAATGATTTTTACAGCACCTATTCGTGACTGGTCTCTTTAAAGCCTAGAAGTTGGATATTTTCATAGTTCATCCATTCGATAAAACAGCCAAGAGTAAACCTATGCCATTGCATATCTGCTTGGGTCATGTTTGGGATTGTCTCCTCCACGTCAATGAATCGGAAGTCTTTCACATGGTTGAGAGGAACGTGAGAAGCCGTTAGGCCTCAAGTAAACTCCACCTATGCTCACTCTATAGGAGCATGTCATGTTCTTGGTGGGCACTCCCAGTTCCCATAACAGTGTCTGCTAGGCTGCATATGGCTACTTTCTCATCAGTGTCACCTGCATCAGTTGTAGTCTTGATGATTGTCGAATTACTCAAGAAGGCGCCAGTAAATTTTCTACGGCTTGCTGACCATACCGTTCCACTAGGGACTTCGTGAAGGACTCTGAATATCGGGTTGGTGTTATTCCTGCTGCGTGTTTGTTATTCCGAGGAATCCAGTCTCTCATGGTTCTTGTCCATCGGTCGTTGCCCAGACGTATTACGTGTCCGATTCACCTGATGTTCGATATTTGACGTGTAGAGCGGTGTCTCTGATCTTTGGTTATTGCATAGATCGGAAGCTAGGATCCTCTATCTCGCTTGCGTGACACCGGATATTCCTAGGTTTCATCCTGCTTACGCAGCGACCAGGTTTCGGACACATACATCAAGGTATCATGGAGTCGAAAAGGTGGACACAGTGCCGGGTGTTCTTTGTTCTCTTCACTACATCCTTGATGCTCTTGAAAGCTCCCCAAGCAGCTTGTTTCTTTCTGCTCAACTGTGGAGCTAAGTCGTTTATCATGTTGATTTCCCGACCTAGACAAACGTAACTGGAACTTCCGTTGAGCGTGAATGGGGCACTAGAACAAATCCGTTCTTCATCAGGAAAGTTAAATGATTTCCCGCGAAAAATTCGGCATTACTCGCGCACATCAAGAGAGCAGAGCCCAATATGTTGTCCCTGCACACGATAGAGTCGTATGGAAGCTGGTGCCTACTGAAGTCATTCGATGACATGATACATCATATATATATATGTACATATATAGACATATACATATGTATATGTATACATATACACATGCATATAAGCATATTCATATATGTATGTATATACGTATATACATATATATATATATATATAGGCGCGTGTAGCGCAGTGGCTATAGGTGCCTTGTAATACACACGCGGTTTTTGGTTTGATCCTCCGTCCCAGGTTCACTAAGCCATCCATATCTCATGGTGGAGAAACTAGTGATAGACTTATCTGCGATGATAGCAGCACTGAGTTGATACCTCGGTAGACTGCCATAAATCATTGTATAGGACATACATGCATCGAATCAACCTTACGAAATCGAATGCATGGCGCATCCCTCAGGAAGTGAACAACGCCGATAGCTTTAGAGCTTTGTATATAGCATACATATGTATAGTTACATATATCTATATAACGTGATGCCTATAAATATATAATATGTTACATTTATGTGGGACAGGCAGTTGTCGTTCTAATGATGTTTTGCCGGCAGGGTTTTTCAAACGGATGTTTCAGTTTTTTTTTCTAGCATCACCTGTTGTAGAATTTTGCTTGTAGTCTGACAATTTTGTACATCAGGAGTTCTCCGGCTTAGGAATTCGATGCAGTTTTATACCCCAATTTTTCGTTTGGATTTAATTCTACTGGTTATTTTTGTATGTGGTACACAGCTATCTGTGCAGGTGCTGCTAGTTGCAGCCATACCGAGGATGTATTCAATGGCGACAATGGTTCCAGTTCGACCGATTCCCGCCGAGCAGTGCACAATGATCGGCTTGGTCGTACCACGAATACGTGAAAGGAGTTCCTGAACTATTGACATTGTGCCTCGGACGAATTGCAAATAAGATCTGGTTTTGATTCATATTTTTAAAACGTAAAGCTTATGAAAGGAAATCCAGTTAGAACTGCCGAACCTTTAACGTCTCAAGTTTATAGGTATATATATATATTATATATATATATATACATGTATGTGCACATACACATGTATATACAAATACATATACATATATAGGGGCGCGTGTAGCACAGTGGTCGGAAGCGCCTTGCAATACATATGTCGTAGATCCGCGCACCACAGGTCCACGAAGCCCTTCACCTCTCCGGGGTCGAAAATTGTATCAGACTTGTGTGCGAGTATAGCAACACTGGCTTGATACTTAGACAGACCACTGCAATTCACTGTCAATGCCAGATATGCATTCAATCACCTCCAAACGATGCTTGATGAAGTCGTATGCATGGCGCATCACTCAGGGATTGATCAACTCCGAGAGTTTCATCCTTTTCTTGTTCTTTATATGTACATATATATATATATATATATGTATATCCATATATGGGTTGTTTATTGTATATGTATTCTATCTTTATGTAACCTCTCCTATTTCTTTAGTTTCCCATGTAGTTCTTATGCTTTCTATCGTTAGTTCCAGCAGAAAAGGTGCTTCTACTCGCAAATTTTTTTCATATGGTTGGAAAAGCGAAGGCAATGGTACAGTAGCTTCCTGAAAAAATCATTGCGGCACATAAGGGGCGTTTCATGAACGAATGAACGATTTGTTGTTGGCCTTGCATGGTTTATTATGGAGGTGAAGGCCTCGGTGACAACAAATGTTAAAAGACCATGACTATTCCCAAGATCGATTTTCTATTAACCTCGACATTTGAATATGAATGCGTTGTTTTCTTGTTCAGCAATCGCGAGGTTGTTATACAGCATACATTTACTTCCATAGAGAAACACAATACAATACAACACTAGCTGACGTTTTGGTAGTATCGCCTTCTTCAGAACCTGGAAGGGTATACTATACTGAGCGATGTGCCCAAGCGAAACACTTGGCCAAAAGAAAGTCCCGTTTATGTTCCCCTTTATTAGCGCTGAAGTAAGCGTAGCTATTAAACGGTGCTTAAGAAGGGCAGGTTTGGAGGAATCGGTAGCGATAGTTGAAATACCACCGGCTACTCTACGTCGTCAATTAGTTCGTAACCGCCTGTATGACCGTCTATGTGAAACAACAAATTGCGTAATTTGCCCCTACTGCAGGAACGGTGATTGCATGGGTTCAGGTACGATATACCTGATCTCTTACAATAATTGCAGAGATGTATATATTGGCGAAACGGGCAGACCTTTGTGTATCCTTATAAAAGAACACCTAGATGGCAAACGAAAAGCAAGACAAGGCACGCGACTAGACACGCATAGGATACAAAAGCATAGCGGAGACGATTTTGAAGTAAAAGTCAATATCCTTGCATAGGAGAATAAAACACCTGCGCGAAAACCTCTTGAGGCTTTTTGGATAAATGCCAAAAACCCTACAATGAATAGCAGGGATGAATGCCCGGAGGTCATACGCGACCTGACCCGTATGTTCGCATCAATTTCTGATGTGGGGTGGTGCAGTCATCAACCATGTGCGACTATAATCAGCTGTTCTGACGTTCCTCATTGGAAGTCCCAAAAAAATTGGTGTTTCGAGAGGCTGTTGATCATGTAATTGCCGTAGAGTTTCTCGTCTTTTTGTAAGTGTTACTGAAGCATTTGGCCTAGTAAATTGTATATCAGTATGCCCTTCCAGACTCTGAAGAAAGCGCTACTGCCGGAACGTCAGCTAGTGTTGTATTGTATTGTGTTTTTCTATGGAAGTAAATGTATGTTGTATAACCTCGCGATTACTGAACAAGAAAACGACCATGACTGTAATTGACGACCAAGAGTTGAAGGCAGAGGTTAAGTCTGATCTACATCTATAGCAAACTGTCCGATAGCATGCAATACAGATTTTAGAGAAGGTCTTCGAAAAAGTTCCTTATGATTAAGTAGGATTTCTTAAGGAAGTGCTTGAAAAAAAGGAGGAAAAGCCTAATGGTGGATGCCAAAAGGTCTTTGAAGAGAAAGACGAGAAAACAAACCATGGCTCAAAAGTCTGCTATTAATTACTTATTTGGAATGAAGAGAAGGAGTTTTGAAGTGAACTATGCTTAGAAACAGTCTAGTTGTTTAATATTGACTGAAAGCCAGGACGCATCCCTAATCTATACTCACTGAGAAAGCTATGCGCTAGTGTCAAAATGATAGCTACTGCAGTTCAGCGATGTCGAAGTCACTGTAAATTGTGAGAGTTCTGTTATCAAATACGGTTATAGGTCAATATAGCAATTCAATGGACGTGTGAGAGTTTACTAAGTTCCTATAACTCATTTAGGTGTTTTCATACAAGAGAAGATCATTCAAATCATCCGTTGCTCACCATACTCGTAAGCTTGCACGGCGGTACTCCACGGTCAGGCCAGTCAGTCCATTGATAATGCCGGACCTCTCGCTGATCTGGTGTACCGTCTGGCTTTGTGTATTTAACAAAAAGCACTGACACTATTACTGTCTGCTCTTCAGGGCTCATTGGACGCACCTGTAGTGGGCTATGTAGTGTTTATTCAAAAAAAGGAAAGCGTATAATCTCACCTGTAAATTGGTAATATCAATTCCGGCATAGGTTTTAGTCATTCCTACTTGATTAGGCCAGTATTCGGAACACTTATACTTTCCCTGATATGAAAGGAGCTATAACAACTAAAGAGCTTGAACTGCGAATCAGGCTTCTTTATTTCTTTATGCAATAATTTAGTATTCTATGAGAGGAAATGGAGTTCTAAGTACTCTGAATACTTTTTTTACATTTTATTTGACCCGTTTTTACGTTCACTGCGCGGATCCTAGCATTTCTCATAATCGATTCGTTCCCTCGCATCCATTATCCAAGAAGATCCTCCAACTTTTACGCATGACTCCGGTTGCTGCTTGAGGATTTTCCTTCCATCTTGAATGTCATAGAATGCTGGTCGAGTCGATTCTCCCTGGAGTCCTGGGAAAGCCAGGCTGGGCGTACCCAGTTGGTTGCAGAGACTGATTTTTTCCCGGACAACTCCGGTGCCAATTCCCCGACCCCGGATGGTTGAGAGGCTTGGTTGGCCCAAAGTGGAGCCGAACTAGCACCATGCTCGTGATTATGGACATCGCTACCACCGTGCTATCGCTGCTCTGAATATTTACCGTGGTATAAATAAATTTTTAACGCCGGAAGAGATAAATTGCGAAAAGATAATTCAAGAATACGTACCGTTTCAATACAGTTGCACAACATCACGATCGTTTGAGATTCTTCCTGTAACACCATCATCCAGAATTCAACAATCGTCCCGTCTAATGGGCCCTGAATGGATGGGCAAATAATTACCATTTAAACTGCTTTAGGAAATGTACAATTGAAGAAGTCTAACACAGTATAAACAATTAGCGAAAATCAGCGCAACTGTCACTTGGCTAACGTTTCTATAGGGGCGCGTGGAGCGCAGTGGTCAGGGGCGCCATGCAGTATAAGTGGGATCGATCCCGTGCCTAAGGCGCACCAAGCTCTCCATTCCTCCGGCATCGGCAAATTGGTACCAAACTTGTCTGGGAGGATAGCAGCGCTGGCTTGATACATAGACAACCACCGCAATTCACTGTAAACGCCAGATATGCATTCAATCACCTCCAAACGATGCTTGATGAAGTGTGCATGGCGCTTCCCTTAGGGTCTGATCAACGTCAAGATCTTTATCCTTTATTTATCCTTATCGTCTCGACGTCTTCGCCTTGCTCAGATGAGTAAATGTTGCAAAATAACCTTATTTAAACCGAACAATCCAGAGGAATTTACCGATTGTTCAAGCTTAGGTTAAGTGAAAGTCGGTTAAGCAAAGTGTAAATGAAAGCGTTCACCGACAAGCTATTGTCAGTGCCATAATCTATTCAGGATTTCGAGACTCGTAGTACACAATCGATAATATCGCTTTTCAGCTTTAATCTCTCTTTAATCACAGATTTCGAGGTGTCGTTTGTGTGGGCAATGTGCTCCTCTGGCTAAGAAGTACTGTTTTTTGTTAGTCATCAGGAACTATAGTTCTTAGGTGACAAAAAACAGCTCATCATAGGAGTAGAGGAACAAACTAGTCTCGTATCAACAAAGGTTTTCCTTCAGACGAGGATCTGTTTGTCGATATCTTATCTTCAGTTATTTTTCGTACATCGTGTTCTTAAGAGTAAGGAGATCGATCGGTCTACGTCAGGATCGTCAAAATCATCGCCTCATTAAAGTGTGAATACAGGAAAGGGCGATAAGAACAGTGAAGAATTTAGTGATAGATGTTCTGAAAAAAGTATGGAAAGCTTCATAGCACTTTAACAGCCAATTCCACGAAGACCTTAATGTGAATGCGTGAAGAAAAAAGATGGAAACAAATGACACCTGTGTACAGATGAATCGCTTTTCTGACACAGGAGTTCCAACATAGTTGGCATGAATATAATCACAAGGAGCACCAGGCCAGGTAAGAACGACGCGATGTTGGTCTTGGCACGGCACATCCTGGTATCTGAAAGAGGCCTGCTGTAGTGCAACTCAAGGATGGATAGCAACGCTGTTGAAACTGCCCGATGTCCTTATACTGGTTGCAGGACTATGTGCAGTGGTTCACAGAACGCAACTGTAGGAATAGGAGAATAGGAGCCCTAGTTTCAAAGACTACTGATTTGCGCTCTAGACTCTAGATGTGAAATGAAAAGGGCACCGTTAGCAACATTTTGGTGTTGTCTATGTTACAGTGCTTTTTTAGTTATTGAGAAATCAACGCACCTGTTCCTGCCCGCTTCGTGGTTTGCTTTAAAGGCTTCGTACGTTACCTCGGGCAAAGTATATCGTGCTAGTGATCTGTATTCTGCTCTCAGAGCCTCTACACCGGTATCCAACGCCCTCATAACCCATTTAGTCACCTAAGAAACACCCATACACGATCACAAGAACCCACTGGTATCATGATAAGTAAGGTCAGGCACTCAGGATCTCATCATCAATCTAGTAGTATGATCTAAACGTTGATATGGCATTCTAGAAAATTTCATCTACTTAGCAGATTCTGAATACTTCTGTTTAGATCTACAACTACTCAGATAAACAGCATAGTTGATGAAAACGATTTTTCCTTACCACTTCACTTGCTTTTGGTCGCGGTTTGCGCTCTGTCTTTTGTTCTTCTGTTACCTGAAACTAGGCATTAATTAATTCTATAATGTCTACGACTCTAATGGGGAGGTGTGGTTTTAAATGATAACATATGCACAATACGGCCTTACCTTCTTCATTTTTGAAGGCTCGCCTTTCTTGCCTTTTTCATCTTTGGTAGCTTCATTTTGATTCTTCTTTTTTGAACTCTGCTTTTCCGCTTGCTTCTCGCTGAAGTAAAATTCATGTCTATAGGAATGAAAAATCTTCTTTTAAAGTGCGGGAACATCACTTCCATTTCGCTAGTATATAAACGTAATCCAGCGTATTTTAGAATGAATTTACTTGGCAGACGCTTGCGTTGAAGTTCTGAGGAGCAAAATTGGCCGACACTCTCGGTGCCAAACAACGCTTCAAAGACCGTTACCCCACTTTTCAGAGGATTTGTAAGAACGATCATTTCAGAAGCATTTTGGTAAGTGATAACCTCTGTCCCTTGCATCAGCACTACCGTACTTGTATCGGTAAGCTCTATCCGATTCATAGAGGGCTGTGGTGAACTTAGAAACGGCTTGGTCAAGACCGGGAGCTTTATCCTCGTATATATGTATCAGAACCCACTGGGCTACTTTTGCACACGGCGGGGAAAAATGGAAGATTTACTGGCGCCCACTCGAGTCACTCGACGATCAACAGGACTACAGTGGATTAAATGGGTTTTTTATTTTTATTTTACACGACTCGTATCCTCATTTGCTTGCGGACTTGAGCACTTCTTGCATTTGATGCGTTTCCTCGCATCCATCCTTCACGATGGTGTTCGAACTTCTAACGTGTGGGTTCGGCTACTGGTGGAAGATTGTGTCCTTCTTTGTAAATGTCGCTGAGTGCTGGTCATTTAAATTCTCGCCTGAGTCCTGGGATAGCCGGGGTACAGCATTTTCACTTGGATTACAGGTAGTGGACCACCCGCAGATAAGTCTGGCAGTCTTTTCTTTTACTCCGGAGAAAGGCCTTGCCCGCTAGCCTTTTCGTGATAAACGGCATCACTGTAACTACGCTATCGCGCCTCATCTCTATGCCTTTTTAAGCGGATGACGCTTGAAACTCAACACACTGAGACATTGTCTTAGCATATGCACTTTGAAGTTTAAATAGGAAAATAAGCGAGTTCGTTTCACACAAAATATGGTCTATTAATTTCGGAGTTCGGAAAAGGTTTGACTTACGTTGTACTATCATAATGATGTATACAATGAAAACCTGCAATAAACTGCAATATTGGTATTAAGCGGACGCGTGTGGCGCAGTGGTCGATGGCTCAATGCAACACACACGTGGAATTGATCCACGCGCCCATGGCCCACCAAGTCTTTAATCCTTCTGGGATCGGCAAATTAGTATCAGACTTGTCTGGAGGGATAGCAGCACTCGCTCGATACATCGATCGGCTACCGCGACTCATTGTAAAGGCCAGATATGCATTCAATAACCTCCAAACTATGCTTGGTGAAGTCGAATGCATGGCGCATCCCTCAGGGATTGATCTACGCCAAGAGCTTTTATCCTTTATGGGTATTTATGTTGTTATTAAAGCGTATGCTGTTTAAACAAAGTACAGTACTGAATAAAAAATGTAGTTATATAAAATCGATAAACTTTTCGAACGTATCTTCTTTAGTGAGCACCCACTTCTTCTTCATGACCTGCAGCTGATGCACTCGCGTTGAACCTATGCTTGAATGTGAACACTATATAATGGATCACACCAATTTGTGTCTGTTGATGTCCTACACTATCACGTTGATAAAAGGCTGCTCATTGTTATTTTAGACATGAAAACATAGAGCACATCTTCAGTCTTGATATCGTAGACTGTAGTGCGTACAGCGAGGCAGTTAGAGGGTCACTATGAAATACACATGGTCGTTGGTTCGATCCGGCGCCCCGGGCACACCGAGCTTTCCATTGCTACGGGTTCAACATATTGGTGCCAGAGTTGTATAGGAGGACATTAGCGCTGAACTGATAGTTCGGTAGGCAACCGCGGTTCGTTGTATAGGCCAGAAATGCATCTTCACGCCGTCGAATGCATGCCACATCGTTTAGGGGCTTATAAACGCCGAGATCTTTATCCCTTATCGTTTATTGTGGACAAATATAATTGTGCTAATATAGGAAACTATTACAGCACCTCCAACTTTTCGCATTAAAACTCTCCCTGAATTAACTCAAAAGAGCGACTGTCTATAAACTTCGGCGTAAATAATCGATGTTTGTTTACACGTTCTCATGAACTGACCTTGTTGAGCTGGTGCAAAGTCGATACAAGTTGTCGTTGTTGCTGTTGTTGTTGTTGCCGTTGTTGTTATTGTTGCGGTCCTTGTTGGTCGATGGCTAACGTTTCGGCGATTTCGACTACCTCAGAACCGTACTGTAACGAGTGGGACACAATTGTTTTTCCCTTAATTGTCACGGCCATCGCATTTATCATTTAGTAAAAAAGTTTTGTCTGTTGCTTTATTGTGGGCTTATTTGATGTGTCACACTTCCGACCGGCTAATTTGGATCAGACATATCTTGGGAAAGCACCGTCCAATCCCTCTGTGATTGTGAACAGGGATGTTCAAGTGGAGCTATCATCAGGAGGAATCAATTCGTCCTGCATTTAACGTCATTCCTAAGAAGGACGCAAAACAGATGAACAATACGCGCGAACTCGAAGATTTTCGTGGTTGACCAAATCGAATAAAGGAAGTTCTGGGGTCCACCTATTACGTAAAGTCGAGTCATATAAATAAATGAATATTTGCCCTGGACATTGATGTATAACATCGTTATGTTATAGGAAGGCAAAAGTAAAGGCCATTTTTTGGGAGTTTAATATGTCAAGCTTATTGCTTTTGTCACGAATTTATTCCGGTACCATTCAACGTCGGTGGCATAACTGTGAGAGACGATGTTCATTGTGGATGGAGCACTGCCGGCTCACAGTGTAGACACCACCATATTGTGTTGTTCAGAAATAAATGAGCGTCTTATTCATATTATTTAAAATGTCATAACTTGCTTTAGACGAAAATTTATTAACCAAAGTAAAAACTTCAATGGTGCTGAGATATTCGCAAAACTCCGGACCGCAGGTGTCTACGGTGGGAACAAACGCGCTATTGTCTTTTCCATGGTGTGGTGGTGAATGCCTTACTCCCCGGAAAGGACAATACCGCGTTCGTTCCCAACCGTAGACACCTGCGGTCCAGAGTTTTGCAAATATCTCAGTATCATTGAAGTTGTATTTCGCAATACACCCTGCCATTAAAAACAGTAGGCAGTAAATAAAACGGTTAAGAAAGTAAAAACTACTTGAATTTGTACATTTTTGCAAACGGAAAACAATTCTATTCATTCCAGTTGCACAAAATTCTGGAGTCCTGGGAGCAATGAATTAGTTGGAGGCATTTTTTGCGTCACCATGGTTGATGAAGTATTTCTCGCGCAGGAAGTTGTCAAGGTGCTTAGGGAATTGATAGCCGGCAAGGGAGAGGTCTGGTGAATATGGCGGATGAGGCAAAGTCTCATAACCCAACTCGTTAAACTTCTGTGGCGCTGGTTCCGCAACGTGAGCCTGTGCGCTGTCGTGGAGATAGATTGGTCCCCTTCTGTTGTCTAATTCCGGTCGTTGTTGTTGAAGTTTCGGTGCGTTTAGTCGATGTGTTCGAAATACTTCTCCGCCGTAATCGTTTTGCCCGGATTCGAAAAGTTGTGATGAATCACCATGACTTTTTTGGTGCAATTTCGGCTTTAGGAAGTGCTGTGGGGCCTGGTCGCAATCCATCCATTGAGCTGAACGTCGTCGGTTGTCGAACAGATTCCACTTCTCGTCGCACGTCACAATTCGATCAGGAAAGGGCTGTTTTTGTTGCGTAGAATAAGAGCAGACGACACTTCAAATCTGCGATTTTTTTGATTACCGTTCAATTCGTGCGGCACCCACTTGTCGAGTTCTTTTGTCTTTCCTATGCTATTCAAGTGAGTGGAAACTGTTCCTATGCTTAGGCCAAGCTGTTCTGCAAGCTCTCGAGCAGTTGCTCATGTGTATGCTTCCGATAGTGGCTTCAATTCGTCGTCGTCGGGTTTATTGGACGTCCGCGGCCTTCTTTATCTTTGAGGTCGAAATCACCGGATCGGAATTTTCGGAACCACGTTCGCACTGTTGATTCACCAACACTCCCTTCACCACAAACTTCCTTAATGTTTCGAGCCATCTCTGCTGCACTACGACAGCGTTTGAACTCACAAAAGGAAATCTGATGAGGATTCATCTTTGACATCCTTAGGCTTAAAATTGGTAGAGAAAAATCCACCTTCTGACAAAATATAGGGAATGATTAGGAAGAGCACAAAATCAGCTTTCTAACGATATGCATTATTGCAGGGTACAAAGAATATTTTTTTGGTCAGAAACATTAGACGATAAATATCTAAAAGGCTCATTTCTTCCTAAACAATTTAATGCAAGAGGATTTACCTGTTGCTGGTCGGCGACTCTCGTGGAAGGGAACCTGTTTTTTGAATCATCGGCAATGATATCTCCCGTGTAATGATATTTTCACTATTTTGATTCTGTTGTTTTTCCATAGCAGAACCTGTTGAACATATTGAACTTAGAAAGACGTCTCGCACATAAAAGGATAAAGCTTTCGGCGTTGATCAATCCTTGGAGATGCGCCGTGCATTCGACTTCATTAAGCCGATGGTGTAGCGATGCATCGAGCCATTGCTGCTATCCTCCTAGGCAATTCTTCGATTCCACGTGTGTGTTACAGGGCGTCTCCGACCACAGCGGTCCGCTTCGCACATATTAGTCGATTTTCACATTCTCAAATTTTTTAACCCTTGGATTCGGTTTGTTGCATCGTGCTCAATTGATCGGTTCCTTAAGCGCGGAATTTCTTGCCATCGAAGAACTTGCTATTATCTTGGAATAATCCAAGAAGGCAACAGAATTGCTTCCAATCCAGAACTGCCAGCAACTCTGACGACCTGAGAACACGCTAACACGGCTGTCGTGGGTTACTTAAAAAAATTACTACCGACCGGCAGTCATCATTTTAATGAGTGAAGACAATAAAGATTCAGCTTACTGCCTAAGCCACATTACCGGTTGAAGCATTGGTTGATGGCTGGAATGCAACGAAACGAATGAACTGTTGAGACCTTCACGCCAGGG